CGACCCTACGTGATCTTCCTTCTTAAGATCGTTAGTTTTTCCACGAATACGAAATTATGAATTCGTCGTATGAATCGGGACAAAAGATGATTTGTTCGTTTATAAAATAGTCATAAACGTTGATTAATCCGGTCTATAGCGTACAAAGTTGCGCAAATATATGAAATGCAGCAGTAGAAATTTAGCGTAATGGAAAGCATTAGTTATTTTTAGTCACTCGAGTGTTTCCTTCGGTAAGTATTTATTTCCGCCTATCTTTTGTCCGCAAAGATTCCTAAATATACAAAGAATTATTGCTATTTGTGCGTGCTTATAAAGATGCTAGTACAATATTTTAAAACTTCAAAATGTACTGGACGTCTGAAAATGAAGTGTCGGAATGAACTTTACCTTCGATCCAAGTTCATATTTGATTTTCGATAGAGATACTACTGATAGATCGCATTATTAGGTGTGATTAACTGAAGAAATGAGATAACATAAAATAAAATAAATATTTTTAACTGGCCAGTGGAAATACAGTACCGAACCATTGAAATTAAAGTACCTTTGTTCAATGCTATCTAGAGTTCTATATTAACTTACGTTTATGAAGTGATGTTTCGGGGCAAGATTGCGCACACGCTCTCTCGTTCTTTCCATCGTTGGTTCATAAAACATTATTTTATCTATACATAAAAACGTAATTTATGCTATGGAAAAGACTGCGAAACTAATTGACGAAGGGAAATTACTGTTATCAAACCATCCACGTTTGAGGAAGACTTTTTCTGCCCCTCATATAACAGACGTTACGCGAATCCATCCATTCGCGTAACGTCCATCAATCCAGACTAAATTCAATGTTCAAATTCTGTTTTATGGCGGCACGAGCGATGCGCCTTTTTTGAAGGAACGGGGCAGTTTCGCTGTAATTTTTGTGAACTACGCTCTCTTATTCCGCTCTCCGCGTAATCTTCTTCCATAGGCGGAACAAGGTCGAGCACCGTCATTGCTTTCAAAAAATCGCTTTTAAATTAATTTTGTTTAAACGGTTTCTTTTTAATCTAAAATGATTAAAGAGCCTGTTTTGACAATAATATTTTTGAATGGAATTATTGTTATTTGTGTAATGCAGCATTACAGAAAACGGCGCTCTTATCCCGCTTTCACTTAAGAATGTCGGCGTCGGAACAAGTCGTTGGAGCGGCCATTGTTTTCTTTCAAAATGATAAACTGTTATTTCATTTATATCTGTACTTGTAAAGTCTATGGAAGACATTTTTTTTTCTAAAACGGGCCTATCAACTAACTATTCAAATTACCATTCCCTTGTATTTTAACAATTTGAGTTCAAATCTCATCTGTTTTTATTGGTTTTGTACGTATTTTGTAAAAAGACGGATCATTTATTCACCGAGAGTAGCGATGCGTGGAGTATTTGACAAAAACGGAGGAAAAGAAAAATAAATAATTCTGCTCGGGTCAAAAATCTGACATTTCCAAGGTATGACTAAATATGCAGATCCTTCTTATATTAAAATATTTCTATTAATAAAATCGCTGGTGAATTTCATAAAATATAAACACGAATAAGACAAAACCGCGGTAAGCCTACACATTTTCGCAGGACTTAATATAGAAAATTGTAAAATTCATCATTAGTACAGACGTCTGAGATAATTAACCGTACAGTACGCTTTCGTATAAATTTTAAACATTTTTAGAGAAAAATACTTCTTACGATTCATTGCTCGAAACCGCGTATACAAATAAGCCGAGTATAGGGGAGACCGGGGCAACTTCGGCATGCGGGGCGAGTTTGTCAAGCGCTTTTTTTTAAAAACAAATTAAAAGAAGACTTTGGTTATACGTTAGGCAGTTGAGTTTTATTGGTGGCTTGTTGAGTGTAGTGTTTTTATTGTTCTCCAACAAGCGTAGTTGAATTATCAAGCAAATTTTCATTTTCGTTCAATTCCATATAATATTTTTTTTCCATTTATATTGAATTGGCAGGTTTTGTTATAATTCCATGATAACGAAAGTTACTTTTCCTGTTAGAAGGATGTAACTTCAACTTATTCACGTGGCCAGATCGTGGCTTGGCATTCTGTTCTCAGGGTTGTACTTAATGTTTCGAAATCATGACTAGCGGGGTAAGATCGGCAACATAAAGCCACATTAGAAGCAAAGGATAAAAATCAAACAGATGATAAATGAAAACATGTTTGCATTTGTTATTCATGTATATATGTCTTTGAACTTGCATTTCGTTGTAATAATATTAAATGGGTGTTGGATTTGTATTTCTTTGTTTTAATAGTGAATTCCAACTTATACATTGTTAATAACATAATTTTATATACGTGCCTATCTTGCCCCATTACTGTTGCCCCTATACCAGGGGCAACTTTAATAAAAATAATTAAAATAATTACAACTTTACAAAAAGAGAGAAGTTGCCGATCTTGCCCCTATACCCGGGGCAACTTCGTCAATTTCTCTCTTCTTGTAAAGTTGTAATTATTTTAATTATTTTTATTTCCAAACTGATTTTAACCAGTTCTATAGTAAGGTAACATTCCAATAGACAATATGCAAAGCTTTTTTTTCAGTTTACAGCAGTATTTATTACACAAAATTTAAGTAAAGCTTAACATGCCGATCTTGCACCGGTCTCCCCTAACAATTACGTCGCGATTTCTGATTTTTAAATTTGTCTTATCGTTCTACGTTTTCGAGTAGAAAATTATTTTGTTTTACCTCAGATTAATTAAAAATCGCGCCGTATTCGACCGATATATTACGTATACGAGAGTGGCTTAAGATCTCGACTTACGGGCTAATGGAGCATTTAGTTTGTCGTTAATCCCTATCGATTGCATCGATAATGCTAATATACTGTTGTACGTTATCATAATCATATATATATTTCCTTTTCGTGATGATTACGACGAGTACTTTGAGAATGACGTAAAGCAAACATCGACTAACTGCGTAATAGGAATGTGTTATTATCTGGCGAAACGACTTTCCGAGCGAACACTTAACGCGCCTTAGCGACACGTATTAAACAGAAATAATGCATTAAAGCTTTTTCCTATCGTTTAATTAAGATTTGACCTTTCGAAGAAAACTTATTTCGCTTATTCGCGTTAAACGAATGACGAGAAACGCTTTTCTAAAATATAAGCAATCGGTTGAATTAAATAAATTTAAAGCTAGAAATAATTAAGTTATAATCGTTACGCGTAGTTTCTTTATTGTTCTATAATCTTTCACACCATAAAAAATATATATACAGTATATTCAGAATTTTAAATTTTTAATCTTTATAGATCTCTACATATTTTTAATCTTTATCGCTTATTATTAAAATTGTATATTGTATGGTAAAATTATTAAAGTTATTTCAGAATGATTACAAATATTATTTGTAAGAAAGTTGACAATAATCTTAGAATTGTTTATAATTGTGTCGCTCGAGAGAAAAATATTTTTATAAAATTTCCACAAATAATTTATTTGTTTTGTCTTATTTTCGCTAATAAATACTTTCGCCGACGTTTGCAAATATTCAAGAATTTCAGTAAATGTCATACCAAACAGCCAATCTATAGCCTATACGTATTCGTATACAAGTTGCACGTATGTGTTAGCCGTTTGGCTATAACGACTGCAAAATTATGGTATATATTATATATATTTATATATACACGCGCGAAGTTTTGCTTATGTTGGAAAATCCGATACCGTTCCTAAAATAGAACTAAGTAAGCCAGCATTTCTGGTATTAAAATATTTCTAATAGTAAAACCTCTCGATTAGAATAGAAAGGTCGTAATAAAATGTATAGTACAGTATATACACATATAAATTTAAATCAAATATATAAAATTAAATAAGAAAAATATTTATACAATGTTTTTCTAATGCGAATAGCGGCGTATTATAAGCGACGGTGTAATTCGATATACAGTATACAGGCCCGCGTATTTGCAATGTCAGACGAGATATTCGAATAAACCACGAAACCGTTCTATATTTAAAAATTTCTTAGAAAAACTTTTTATTCAAATACGTGTAAATCTTAACAGAAAAAATCAGGTTATCTAAATAATAAAAAAAATCGTGATAAAACATTTTTTTATTTAAAAATGTATAAAAATTTAAAGATTTTAAAAATATAATGTTAAAATTTGAAATATATAAGCGTGTAACTCACACATTCGTCTTATACAGGCATTTGTCTGTTTTGTATATCGATAAGGCTTAAAATCGTTAATAAATTTCTAAGCCGGCTATAATTTTCCAAAATATATTTTAAATGTTCATACTTACCGTAAATATTCGCGGATATTTTTAGGATTTACGTAATTTAATATTTTCCGACGAATTTCTTCGTCTAGTTCCATTTTTAAAAACGAAATAACGTGGCTACGGGCTCCTAAAGTTTTCGGAAAAAGAAACGATTACTAGACAAATGCATTACGGTAATAATTATAAGGTAAAGTTATCGTTCGAGACATAAAATGTGGCGCGATACGCGTTATTTTCCAAGAGTCGAAGAGTAATTTATTAACTAATAAAGGAAAAATTCCCAGCGTTAACGCGGCCACGTCTGTCCGTCACTCGCTAACGCCAAGATAATTTAATCCGTTGCCAAGGTGATAAATTATTTTCGGTAAGTAAAATTATATTTACGTAGCAATCGTTTTCTCATTTCCTTTACCGAGTTCCTTCGTCCGATAATCTTAAAAGAGATTTAATATCGAAATACATTTAATATAAATTTTTCTCTTTAAGTTCGAAATTCGGCCATAAAAAATGGTGGCAACTTTGACTTCCGCCGTTTCGGAAGCGGAAGCCAGGCGACTGGAAAGTACTCGACGGGAACGACTACACGGAAATATTATCCGTTGTATAAACTGGTGTTCCTTACCTTTAGTCGGATCGATGTATTTGGAAAAATAATGGAGGCGAGGACCTTGAAATCGACGTCATAGATAAGACGAGAAACGTATTCACAAATATAGAATTTATTGAACGCTATACAATTCTCTTATACTTTTACACGTTTCGTAAACCATGGTTAACAACTTTTCCATATAATTACACACAATTAAAAGACATTTTTAAATCGATTGTTAGAATCGAACGCTGAAGTTTCTATAAGTGCAACTATCGATCACTTGCCAGTTCCTCAAGTCGCACTTCTTAATTCTCGAGCCGGGGCTCCCGTGTTTCTGTAGCCAAGTTGTCCTACAAACAAACGATATCGTTATAGCCCAAAAATAACCGCCTCGTTTCGCAATATTATTCGCTAACAAACACTTACATTTGATTAACATTATACGTCTCTCCCTGTAACTGTCCGACGATCGTTCCCCATCTGGATAAACGGATCCAACCGGTTAAACCTAGATTACGGCACATATCCTTCGCGTACTGTAACGTATGAAAATTAATTGAGGTAGGAAAAAATTCAAATAAATGAGCGCCACGTAAATTAGGGTCGTTGCACTTACTAAATGAGCCCACGCCGTTAAAAAAAGTACTTATAAAAAGATTTATAATAATAATAAATTCTATTAAATTAATAATTAAATACGGAATAGGGAGTTACTCCAACTATTTCTTGCTTTTAAGCCATCTTTTTAATTAAGATTATAGTTAAAATGCATTTAAAATTATTAAATAATATATAAAATTAACCATTATTAAAGCATTATTTCCTTAACTCTACGTTTATAGCGGATATTACATCTAAATCGTATTAAAGTACAAAGAATTCGTTTTAATAAATGCATTTAATAAATAAAAAAAGCAAATAGGTATGTGTGTTACTTACTTTCGTAAAACTCACTCCTGGAAATAATAAGAATATTTTTAATTAGCATATTTGAATAAATTCCCTAAAATAGGGAAATAAATTTCGGGAGGAAGTAATTGTGTTAGCGAGACAGGAATGGGGTCAGCCTATTGTTCTCACTTCATCGGGATATCAATTTAAAGGTTTAGTAGTTAGAAAAGAAGAAACGTGCCACATACCAATCGTATTTTTTGATAAAAAATTATTATTACGATCGTTATTTAGTAAATAAAAAGCCTAGATACATTAATTTAACTTTTGTATATTTTAGAAAATGATAAAAAGCGCAAGAAAATTTTCATTTAAAAATGCATAATATATCTTATTGCGATTTTATTAAATAAGAGATTTTTGAAACTTTACCGTGAACGTCTCCCTCCACCTCAAATTCTACTTCGACAAGAGTAGGTCCCTTCGGTTCTTTAGCGGGCGCCATCGTTACTCTGCTCCCCGACTTCCGTCCTTGCTATAAATACGTTGGCATCGGCGGATCGCGATTGTTCACTTTTTTTCTCTTCCTCTTTTTAAACTATCTTCTACGTCACAGCATTCGCTTTTATGTCATAAACAATTGGATACGAAAATAAATTTCAAAATTCCGTTAAAATATCAGAAATGACGTCACTGTTATATCGCTTAAAATTTAAAAATTTGCCCGTCGGCATTTTTAACATTCGAATTAAATTTAATTAAATAAGAAAAAACGTATAATGAGAAAATGAACTAGGTGGTTTATTCTGTATTAACAACTAATGTAACAGATTAAATACAAATTTTAAACGTGTAAATACATGAATATAACGGGTTAAAAGTCAACGGCATCGAAGCCTCCTCCGTCGAAATCCGCGCCGAAATCGTCGTCGACTTCAAAAGTGTCGGGCACATCGTTGTCGAAGACGTTCGTGTTATCCGTATGGACGTTAGTATCGTTTTGTATGTGGTTATTGATGTCGTAATTATTATGAATATGGATATCGGTATCGTGACGAATTCCTCCTCCCCAACCACTTCCGCACCCCCATCCGAAACCGTGTCCCATCGTATAACCCATGGCTCCTCCCATCAGCATTCCCGTGGCAAAATCGGAACCGGAATTATTCTGTCTGTCTTGCACAATAACCGTGGTGTTGTTTGGTTGTTGTCGCATGGGATAACCCGGTTGAAGCGGGCCGATCTGTTGAGGATACGGAGATTGTTGAAGATGCGCCATAGTTTGAGGCGGAAATTGTCCCGGTATCGCCGCTGTAAGAATATATTGCGGTTAACAATAATCTCTATCAACTTATTCACTCAAATTTTATTTTTATTTACCTTGGTAGGAAGGTAGAACGGGAGGATTTGTCGAAGCGGGGGGTAATTCGGAAACGGGTTTCTGTTGCGGTTCTTCGGTCATAGGCGCCGAGGGATTGTTTGCGGGTTGAGTTGCGTATTGAGGTGGTTGAGGAGGAGGAGGCAACTGTTTATAAAAATTTTTTTAATATTTATACATTTATGTAGTACTGTACGTTAGATAAAAATTCTTGAAATAATTACTCACTGTACTAACAATAGCGCTAATCCATTCTCTAAAATAAAGTTTAACAAATGAAATCTTTAATAGAACAATTTGCTTATTAATATTTTTTTACTTATTTTGTATACAGTACTTACTTTATTTCGAGCTCGTACTTGCAAAGAAACCAATGCACGGATTCTTTTCCTCTAGTACCGAAAACCATTAAAGTGGCCGCTGTGTAACCGCTGGGTAATTCTGGACGATTGGGCACTTGCTGCGTGAATTCTCCAAAAGCCATTAAATCCGGCGAATTTTTAATATAAACACCTCCTTCCTGTTCGTTACTATGCCTGTCTTTGTACCATACTAAAGTGCTATCGTTGTATAGGGTTACGTAATGTTCTTTCCAATCTTTACAAAATAATCTTTCTAATAAAATATAATTAATTAATCGCCCCGTTTTATACTTTTATTCAGTCGTTAAATTAATACTTACTTTTATATTTTAGCATGTAGCCACTCTTCAAGGGCGAAGCCATATCTGAATAAGAATATCCCAAATTATCCATTTAGCTTAAATTTACTAAATTTTATCAATATAAAAGATATATAAATACCGTATAAACTTAACCGGCGGATTCGACTGTTTTAATACAAAATATAAGATCACGTACGCAGAATTTTAGATTTATTACAGATAATTCTTTACAAAACACCTGCTTTTCGACTTTACGATTGGCATTTGCAGGTGCGGGTAACAAATGTTTCAAAAAACAATAATAATTATAATTGTTGACATTCCTTTCGATAATAAACAGTTTTCTATAAACAATTTATTGCGCGCATTTATTAAAAACAATTAATTTTTCAAAATATTTAAATAACTTTTAAGAGGATTGGTTGTTTACGTTTCGGTCGAAGCCGATTTAATACGAAATTGTCACGAAATTATTCCTATTTGGCTTCTCATAAAGTTTTGCCCGTAATCTATACTAATATAATAAAGAGGTAATGTTTGTATGTATGTAAGTTTGGATGCAGCAGGTAATCTTCAAAACTACTCATCCGATTTCAAAAATTTTTTCACCAATATTTAGAATGGAACNTTTTTATACCCACTCGCATACAATATAATAAGCTATTTACTTACTAGAAACTTTAATAGAATCTTCTCCGAAACAGGACATTTTGCCACCATTTCACCTCGCACTTCCACCCAGCTTTTATATATAAAAACACCCTATCGCCATCTAGTGACGGGTGGCTTAACTATAACAATTACAAATCTTCCAATTACCCAATGCCGCGTTAACCAATAGAAATCTCTAACTCGTACCTAATTACAACGCGTAATCGTTAGGTAATTCTTCCGTTTTGTGTGGTAAAGTAAGAACGGTAATAACGCATCGAAATAAACGGCAGAATCATTGGAATAAGTACTGTTTGGTGCGAAATTACGTAAAAATCAGTTACGAGATTTTACTTCATTTTTCTCAATTTTTTCCCAAGTTTGAATTTATCGATTACTCGGCTAACCTGCTCGATGATAATTGTTAAGACTGACGTGGCTAAACCTAAACACAATAGGTAGAAAGCCCCTTGCAAATCTTTCAGCTCGACGTTTCTACCTCCTCCCTTCAGAGTGGTGTCTGTCACTTCGCATTTCTGTTCGATCCAACTATATTTTTTATGCCAGTGAGATAACATGCCGGTTTCCCATAATTCTTTAATTCTGCAACGAAAAATTAAATATTGGCAGGCGTAAAACGTATAGATTTTTCGAGATAAACATCGAGCCGATCTACGTACATTTGATTAAACGAGCGAAAGTACGGACTTCCTCTTCTTAAGCCCATAGACATTTCTAATTGGTAGTATCTGTAATGAGGTATGGAAAATCGGCAGCGGCCGTGCCGATTGAAATCTTTATTGATGATTCCTAACAGATGATAGATATCGTCCATATAAACGGCTCTTCCGGCTTCGAGTTCCTTTTTGATGTACGAATTCATCCGTACTCCTTGGCCTCGGATCGAATATTGTTTGTGGAGTTGGTTCATCAGATGGGTGGTCGACGTCTATAAAAATAACTGGTTAAATATTCGTATGATAAATTAAATGGAAACGTTTTAAGGTATCTTACTTCCATTTCTTCGATAATAGGAGCAGATTTTCCGATATATATCTTTAAATGTGGCGCGTTAATGATATCTTTGATATTCTCGACGATCCATTTTGCTTCGGGGAAGGTCAAGAATGCGATGAGATTACCGCTGTAGGTGGAAAAAATTACTACCATGGCTAACCACCACGTACCGGCGATCATTCTTCCAGAAATAGAATCCGGTGTGTAAATTCCTCCTAACAAATATACAATTTATATTTACAACGCGTAAATTTTACTCGATAAATTAAGTTAATTTGGCAAATTTCAATGTAGAAATTTTTCATTAAAATGTCGTACGTCCGAAAATTCATCCGACCACTTGGTAAGAAAATTCAGATTTAGTAATAACAAAAATAATCTGGATAACGTTAATAGAGAATTCGCCATTGCTAGAGATAGAGGCCCTAGACAACGATTGTATCGATGATTAAGGCAACGCGCGACAGATCCACCAAAGAGAAGGTGTCTGGCGGATGACTTTTACGGGAAACTCACCCCTATTTAGGTGTTAGATACGCGAAGGAAACCGAAAAGTTCCACGTGGTCTAGGAGCAAACCCGCGACGAGTGTTCGGATTTTTTTTATCCACTCGACTACTGGTTGGCATTCGATGCGGGTAAAATATATAATCATTTAGCCTATATCTTTAAACAAAAGATATTATAAGATAATTTTTTATGTTACTTATTACCCGAAATGTGTAAATTTAAAATATGATAAAAATGTTAAATGTTGTGATTTTTAATTAAAAATATTTTCTAGTCTAATATTTTTCCAGTCATCGGGATGCAATTTGAAAAATTTGTAGACCTATAAATCCCACTTTCGTCCGTCCGTCATTAATCTCGAGAACGGCGTTAGATAGATAAAAGTCGAAACCAGATATAAAATATTAGGAGAAGAAGCCTGGATTAACTAGGCAAGAATTTCGAGTTTGGACCGGAAGTTACGTTATTTCAAAAATTTTCTCCTGGATGGAGTTAGATAGATGACAGGCACGACTACATTGTTAAGGGGAAAAGTATGATGTACGGGGCAAGACGCTACTAACTTGAGTTGGAGAGCGTATATTTTAAATTAAATAAATTGCAGCCCGGCATTACGACGATCTCGCAATAAGATAATTGCTCGTTTCGATTAATTATCATCGGTTTAGCGTAAGAATAAAGGTAAATAAAAATTACAACGTAACAAAATTAGTCGCGGACTCAAAAATGTAATGCCTCGTTTTTATTTGATAATTGTTACGAAGGTGGATCTGCCTTAAAGACTAACGTTTATTGATTTTATCAACAGTTGCTGTTCCCTTCGTAAAATCTTTCTTAGCCGAATTAAATACGCATATACAATAATATTAATATGTAATAATATATGAATAAATTTGCTAGCATTGAGGATGAGGCGAACGACGATTAACGTTCAAAATCAATATAGACTGGTGAAGTGGCTTTCCTGGAAGATTCTTAAACGTCTGTACCGTAAGCATAATGCAAAGGTAGTGCATATACAGGTATCATCATTAGGAGATATCGGGAATAGATTTGTACGTATTTTTTTGTTTCTAAATAAACATAAAAATATTTACACACATACATTAAATTAAAGAAACTCACGCGTATCTTTTCTCCTTCTCGAATGTGCCTTGGCATTGTAAGCGATATTATTATCACCAACTTGGTGATAACAATATCGCTGGCGATGCAAAATCGTACATATATAAATTCACAGATACTTTTAGTTTAAAGGTAGAGGAGCTATCGGCCTATGATGACTTTACCCACAGTAGAAAACGGGGAGAAGAAAAGTAGTCTAGGAGGTGAAGAGTTTGGGAAGTACGGGGATAGGAAAGATGAAGAGTAGCGCTTAGGACCTCGGGGCTCCTCGTCGGCGCTATTAGAGCCGATCCATTACAATTTACAGTTTATATATAGTTAATCGGGGCGTCCTGCCCTCAAAATTTCCAAATTTGGTCTCGGCTTTCGTCCGTCTAACGCCGTTCTCGAGGTCAAGAAAGGATACACAGTGGAAATTTATAGGTCTACAGCCCAATAACGAAAATTATAAATAAAAACAACTTTACACTTTACTTTTATTTGATACTTATAATGTGAATCACTAAACGTCTCATTAAGTATCACACTATTGCATCGATAATGTATTATTCATGCTATAAACACACTATTCATTAATTGTCTCAAATGCTTTCAGCTACACGCTAATGTATTATTTATAGTATTATAATACATTAACATTATTATATATATATTTAATGCAACAATGGCAAAATAACTCAAAAATATTTATACGCAATTTTATTATTTACTATTTGATTACCTTGTTGCAAGGTAGCTCCAAAGACGTACCAAAAGCAATTCCCGAAACTACTCAAACCGATTTTACAACGGGATGATTTTCCATAAATATACGCGCTGTATCGATTAACGACGTAAAATACAAAACTGACAACTGGAAGACAAACAATTATTCCTATCCACACCTGAAATTAAAAAGTAAATTCATAAGAGTTCATTTACTGATGTGAATCTCTAAATTAAAATAAAACAGTACTCGCATTTTTATTGAAGGGTCGAAGAAAAAGAAAGGCTCTAGAAGGTTCTCGAGGTTTTCTCACTAAAATACCATTTTGTATGATTAATAGAGGATGAGTAAAATCTATGACGTCATTTCTTCTAGCGGTCAATGCTAAAAACGGTATGATGTCGGCATCCTAGATTTTTAAAAATGTATTAAATATTGTAGTATTTTTGTACTAAAACATAATAATTATTATTATTTTGATAGAATTGATGGAATAAGATAACGCGACACACGGGTCATCTGCTAGGAGGTCTCTCGAGAGCACTTTCTACGAGAAACTACTCCTATTTATGTGTTAGACGCGTGAAGAAAACCTGAAAAATTGGTGAGGCGCGGAACTCGCGACCGTTGGGCTAGAAATTGTTGTTAATAGAAAAGACATACCCCATCCAAGACCATTTTAATGGCTCCCGTCCAGCTTCCATTCTCTTTAGTTCCCCAGTCTCCTTCTATGTACAGTAACTCGTATCTGAAAATATAAGAATAAAGGCGTCGGAATAATTTGATACACTTTGACGAAATTAAGAAATTTTCACGAAAATACTTCATATTCATCCTTCTCGATATGTAATCCAATACCGCTTTGCACATGGAATTTTCGAGATATAACGTATTGTTTTCTTTATGTAGTTTGATCAAAGGTTGATACTGAAAGACGTAACAATACATAACTTATATTTATTTAGAAGATAATTTTTTCACGTAGGCCTATTAACTGGAAAGATACAATTAACCTCTTTAATCGCAATCCTTAAAACGGGCGATTCTCTCTGACGTATAACGTCGATAGTGGATATCCCAAAATTCTTAGACCAAGTGGCTATGGGTTGAAGGACGACGGTGCCATTATCGGAAGGGTAACCTCGCCATAAATAATAAAGTTTTTCATTTTGTATACAGCAAGTCGGTAGATTATTCTATCATAAAACAGAACATAGGCACGTTTACTGATTTATTGAAGCGTTATTATTAAGATATAGTATTTAAGATAGGATATAAGAATAGGATAAGCATTAGGATATAAAATCTAAAATAAAAATCTCACCGCTATCCTTTTTAAGAGATGATTACCAAATTTTTTCAAGGCGCTTTTATCATCTTTCTTGTAACACTTAAAATTCGATTCTCTCGACGCTACTTTTGTACTTAGCTAAGAGATAATTCAAAAAACAAGCGTAATATCGAGTTTGAAATACGTAAGATATAAAATAAAATGTTATTTTACCTGAACGGATAAAGGGAAGTATTCCGGATTAAGCGCCGTTTCGGTCACTACAATGATGTCTACGATGTAAGCGGCAGAAACGGAGAATACGTCATCCCAATTATTTGGATCGTCCAATATTAGAAGCTTAGCTCTAGTTCCGTGCATCCTTTCTTCTATCAGCTATTAATAATTTGTAAAAAGTAAATTTTCCCGCAATTTTAATCCATTTTCATCTGGAATTCGTCTATAATCGTACCATAAGTATAGTATCTTTAACGGCTTTACTGGGAGCTAATAAAATCATTAGTCTTCCGTCGTCGTTAGTGTCCGGCATGTTCCACATAGCAAAAAATCTCTTTAACGTGTTGTACAGGTGATACGTTTGGTTCTTGGTATCATTGTGTAGATGAATCTGAAGCAGAGGATATCCTGTATTTCCTAGCAACATTGATATTGGACTCTCTTCTAAATAAATAAAGTTACAGTAATAAGCTTCTTAAGTTTCCAAGTTTTAAATTTACTTACGCTGGCAGAAATTAATTAATATAATATTTAAATTTAATANTCAATTCGTAGTTACTAGACAGCGGATTACCTGGTCAATTCGTAGTTACTAGACAGCGGATTACCTGGTCAATTCGTAGTTACTAGACAGCGGATTTTAGGCAAATGCCCATATTTCCCTTAGCGTATAAACGGCTAAAGTTTTCTTCTAACTACTACGGCGAACATTTCTTCGATATCGAAAAACTTCTGGCCACTTTAGCGGACGATGAAGTTTGCGTAACTAAAGCCAAGAAAATTTCGAATGACATTTATGTTCGGAATAAGTGGGCGTACGTCGAGTATTATTTCACATTCATCGAGGATACTATTACCGCTCTCGAAAGTAGTGGGAAACGTATATACGAACAAATCGAGTTCCTCCACGGAGCAGCCGGAAACTTGGCCACGCACCGGGCACTGCCGCAAAAAAGTAAACAAAGAGTGCTTCGAAAGAGACTTAGATTAAAGCGCTCGTTCGTCGCGGCCGATATTTTGGCGGGAAAGAAGAGCAAAACCGAAAGTAAATTCCCAGTTCCTCTTCTTCCCAGGTCGAAATACCGTCCGTTATCTTCGGTAGATGCGGAACGCTTTTTCTCCGCCTATAAATTAATTGTCGGTGACGAACGTCGCAACTTTTCTATTGAAAATTTGGAAAAAGCGCTCGTAATATTTTACGAAGCTAACTACGGGAAACGGAGCCAATAAAAAATGAAAAGATAATTGTTCGTCTACTTTTGTCTTTGCATCATTCCGAATACGTGCGTTTTTGTTTGGAATACATAGATTAAATAAAAAATTCATCGTCCCGATAAGAAGGTCAATCGTTCGTTGCGCCAATTTTCACCACCTATTTTTTGATTATAAAGCCTAAGCCACGCGATTTAAAAGGCCTAGATGTCCGCCGTCTAGTAATTACCAAGTCGGATATCTGTTTTTCCTCATTAGATTTATTTATAAAATAACACAAATTTAATAAATTAGCAAGTGTTCTTTATAGTTCTCTAGCGGAAGTCAACTACTCTATGTCGTACAATGATAATGAAGTTTATCAATATTTAGATTTTATAAAAGTTTGTTGAAAAAACAATAAATAAAATGTTTGCCACTAGTGGCGTAGAGTCAATTTTTAAGCGGGGGACTCCGAGTGTTTGTTTGAACCATCGCCTTTTCCTTTAAATCTTCTTCACTTTCTTTCTCTGTTCTCTGAACTGTAAGCTCAAAGTTCGAGCTCTGGCCGTTTTGTATCATTCGACACGGCGACACCCAGTTAACGAGCGTACCGTAAATTAATATCACGTACAGTACTTTACGGTATACGGTATTAAAAGATGAAAATTAATCAAAAGTGGTACGATAAGTGGAAAAAACATTAGCCAAAAACACGTAACTATATAAAAATAAATAAATAATTTCTGTATCCGATAAAAATGCGTTACATACAAATAAGTAATGTATTTTATAACGAATTAACTTACTAATTAAACGAAAGCTTTACACCTTAGCCAAATCGGCATTTAACAATTTTTTCACCTTTACAAAGGTGAAAAAATTGCTAAACGTTTATTGATCAATAGTTAAAACTAAAAGATAATGTAAGCTCAGTGTCGGTCATCCTCATTTTATTAAACAGTCATCCAGTCGATAAGCGAAATTTATCCGTCCACCGCGGTCATCCGCAAAAAATTCTCCAGGGTGGAAGCGAAGTTCGGAGCCAAATAATTACATTAATAAATTTTTATTTAATTTTTGAGTCTTTTTATCACAAATCCCGTGGTCGAGAGGGTAAGGTCTCCATCACTTTTACGATAATAATTTGCAGAATATTTTACACTATATATACATTAAGTAAATTTAATAAAACCGAATAAAAATAGCCATAAACCTCGATTATAATCAATGGCGTTGGTCTAAGAAATTTGACGAGTTAAGAGAAAATCGAAGACATTAAAATAGTCGTTGGAATCGTTGGAGAGGCATTTATATAAATGGAAAATTCGAAATTTCTTATTCATTTAAAAATAATCTTTCCGAGAAATGAAATGAAAATTCGAATGAAGGAGAAATTAGAAAAAATGTAAAGATTATATTTAATACTTTTAAATAAAAACGTTGTTTTTAGACTTAATTGCAGATGTTACTAATAGGATTACACTCGACTTGTGTCAGATTCGTCTAAATCACTACACGGACTAATTGATAAGATATAGCAAAATGAATGATCTAACCGAGAAAATTGTACAGTGTCTTATAATAATTATTTTTTACAGTTTTTTAAAAAACTTACAAAGATTAAAATTATAATAATTTTAACAATAAAAAAACCTGTATCCGAAGTTGCATTTTGATAAATGTTTATTGTTTTATTACACGAAATTAGATAGTCGGTGTCGGCCGTTGCCTGACATTTAATGAAGCAATAACAAACCCCGCATAAAATTTTAGCCTACGACAAATATCAACCGCAGTCGATGAATAAAATCTATATTAATAAATTTATTACATTTGAAGCCAAATAAAATTTGATTTAATATAATATTAGTAGGCCTATATTTGCTACGTAAATCGTTAGTATTTCCTGTAAACCTTTTATATAATGCATCTTCTTCCATATTTATTCATATAATTCTTAGTTTATCGATAAAGATGACATTTTTTTTTGTTAATTTCTGGCAGTAAAAGAAAGTTTTTAATGTCTCGTATACAAAATAATGTAAGACGACGAATGCGCTAAAGTAACGAAAGAGGCATCAAACTATTTGTAAAATATTGCTTTATAATTAATTAAAGATTCGATTTAATTTTAAATACAATCCTTAAGATCAAAAATACGGTATTTTTAAATGCGTTACGACTTCACTTTTACAATTTGCGAATACGTCGACCATTCAAACCTAACGTTATTGTTGTAAATATAGAAAAATAATAGAAATTAAGGATGCATCTTGTTTTGAAAATTCCTTTCTAAGATAAATATATAAAGTTTAAGAGAAATTATCCGCGAAATACATAAATAAAACTCCGCTACCACCGGGACACCCGGAGGAGGAGGAAACGAAAGGGGCAAATTGTTCAAAGTCCGAGCGAGTAGGGGTCCGGCGCCATGTTTTTTCGTTTATTTCCTTCGCTTTAATACCGTATAATAATTTTAAATTTGTTATAGGGCCCCGATACCCTCTACGGCCACGACTACTAGTTTGTATGATTTTAGTCATACAAATTTGCAGATAATTAATTAATTAAATATATTACGGCAATTCCGATGTAATTTTTTTAGTAGAATAAACGGGAAAGAGAATAAATCCCCCAACATTCCGTAATAACACAGCTAAAAATCTTAATACGCAATAGTTTCTTATATTATTATATATAGACTATAATAATTAATTTTTATAAAAATTAATTTATCCGAAATTTTTAATGTAAGGTATTTTATAATCGATAGGGCCATATACGTGGTTACCATAGTAACAGTTGGTGTTTATGTTAGTGTCTACGGTTCTAACACATGGTTTTAACGATTATATAAGGTGTGGCACTTATTATTTTATTAACAATAATAACTAGCGTTTATTATTATTATTTTTAAATGCGTATTTTAAGAGAATTTAAGGTGTTAAGCCAAGATCTCTCGCATATGCGTCTGGACCGGGCAAATTATCAATCGCGTTTTTCTAGTATCGTAAGCAGAAAACAATGGTTTATCTCAATAATTTCGCTTTTTTATACCCACTCGCATACAATATAATAAGCTATTTACTTACTAGAAACTTTAATAGAATCTTCTCCGAAACAGGACATTTTGCCACCATTTCACCTCGCACTTCCACCCAGCTTTTATATATAAAAACACCCTATCGCCATCTAGTGACGGGTGGCTTAACTATAACAATTACAAATCTTCCAATTACCCAATGCCGCGTTAACCAATAGAAATCTCTAACTCGTACCTAATTACAACGCGTAATCGTTAGGTAATTCTTCCGTTTTGTGTGGTAAAGTAAGAACGGTAATAACGCATCGAAATAAACGGCAGAATCATTGGAATAAGTACTGTTTGGTGCGAAATTACGTAAAAATCAGTTACGAGATTTTACTTCATTTTTCTCAATTTTTTCCCAAGTTTGAATTTATCGATTACTCGGCTAACCTGCTCGATGATAATTGTTAAGACTGACGTGGCTAAACCTAAACACAATAGGTAGAAAGCCCCTTGCAAATCTTTCAGCTCGACGTTTCTACCTCCTCCCTTCAGAGTGGTGTCTGTCACTTCGCATTTCTGTTCGATCCAACTATATTTTTTATGCCAGTGAGACAACATGCCGGTCTCCCATAATTCTTTAATTCTGCAACGAAAAATTAAATATTGGCAGGCGTAAAACGTATAGATTTTTCGAGATAAACATCGAGCCGATCTACGTACATTTGATTAAACGAGCGAAAGTACGGACTTCCTCTTCTTAAGCCCATAGACATTTCTAATTGGTAGTATCTGTAATGAGGTATGGAAAATCGGCAGCGGCCGTGCCGATTGAAATCTTTATTGATGATTCCTAACAGATGATAGATATCGTCCATATAAACGGCTCTTCCGGCTTCGAGTTCCTTTTTGATGTACGAATTCATCCGTACTCCTTGGCCTCGGATCGAATATTGTTTGTGGAGTTGGTTCATCACATGGGTGGTCGACGTCTATAAAAATAACTGGTTAAATATTCGTATGATAAATTAAATGGAAACGTTTTAAGGTATCTTACTTCCATTTCTTCGATAATAGGAGCAGATTTTCCGATATATATCTTTAAATGTGGCGCGTTAATGATATCTTTGATATTCTCGACGATCCATTTTGCTTCGGGGAAGGTCAAGAATGCGATGAGATTACCGCTGTAGGTGGAAAAAATTACTACCATGGCTAACCACCACGTACCGGCGATCATTCTTCCAGAAATAGAATCCGGTGTGTAAATTCCTCCTAACAAATATACAATTTATATTTACAACGCGTAAATTTTACTCGATAAATTAAGTTAATTTGGCAAATTTCAATGTAGAAATTTTTCATTAAAATGTCGTACGTCCGAAAATTCATCCGACCACTTGGTAAGAAAATTCAGATTTAGTAATAACAAAAATAATCTGGATAACGTTAATAGAGAATTCGCCATTGCTAGAGATAGAGGCCCTAGACAACGATTGTATCGATGATTAAGGCAACGCGCGACAGATCCACCAAAGAGAAGGTGTCTGGCGGATGACTTTTACGGGAAACTCACCCCTATTTAGGTGTTAGATACGCGAAGGAAACCGAAAAGTTCCACGTGGTCTAGGAGCAAACCCGCGACGAGTGTTCGGATTTTTTTTATCCACTCGACTACTGGTTGGCATTCGATGCGGGTAAAATATATAATCATTTAGCCTATATCTTTAAACAAAAGATATTATAAGATAATTTTTTATGTTACTTATTACCCGAAATCTGTAAATTTAAAATATGATAAAAATGTTAAATGTTGTGATTTTTAATTAAAAATATTTTCTAGTCTAATATTTTTCCAGTCATCGGGATGCAATTTGAAAAATTTGTAGACCTATAAATCCCACTTTCGTCCGTCCGTCATTAATCTCGAGAACGGCGTTAGATAGATAAAAGTCGAAACCAGATATAAAATATTAGGAGAAGAAGCCTCGATTAACTAGGCAAGAATTTCGAGTTTGGACCGGAAGTTACGTTATTTCAAAAATTTTCTCCTGGATGGAGTTAGATAGATGACAGGCACGACTATTGTTAAGGGGAAAAGTATGATGTACGGGGCAAGACGCTACTAACTTGAGTTGGAGAGCGTATATTTTAAATTAAATAAATTGCAGCCCGGCATTACGACGATCTCGCAATAAGATAATTGCTCGTTTCGATTAATTATCATCGGTTTAGCGTAAGAATAAAGGTAAATAAAAATTACAACGTAACAAAATTAGTCGCGGACTCAAAAATGTAATGCCTCGTTTTTATTTGATAATTGTTACGAAGGTGGATCTGCCTTAAAGACTAACGTTTATTGATTTTATCAACAGTTGCTGTTCCCTTCGTAAAATCTTTCTTAGCCGAATTAAATACGCATATACAATAATATTAATATGTAATAATATATGAATAAATTTGCTAGCATTGAGGATGAGGCGAACGACGATTAACGTTCAAAATCAATATAGACTGGTGAAGTGGCTTTCCTGGAAGATTCTTAAACGTCTGTACCGTAAGCATAATGCAAAGGTAGTGCATATACAGGTATCATCATTAGGAGATATCGGGAATAGATTTGTACGTATTTTTTTGTTTCTAAATAAACATAAAAATATTTACACACATACATTAAATTAAAGAAACTCACGCGTATCTTTTCTCCTTCTCGAATGTGCCTTGGCATTGTAAGCGATATTATTATCACCAACTTGGTGATAACAATATCGCTGGCGATGCAAAATCGTACATATATAAATTCACAGATACTTTTAGTTTAAAGGTAGAGGAGCTATCGGCCTATGATGACTTTACCCACAGTAGAAAACGGGGAGAAGAAAAGTAGTCTAGGAGGTGAAGAGTTTGGGAAGTACGGGGATAGGAAAGATGAAGAGTAGCGCTTAGGACCTCGGGGCTCCTCGTCGGCGCTATTAGAGCCGATCCATTACAATTTACAGTTTATATATAGTTAATCGGGGCGTCCTGCCCTCAAAATTTCCAAATTTGGTCTCGGCTTTCGTCCGTCTAACGCCGTTCTCGAGGTCAAGAAAGGATACACAGTGGAAATTTATAGGTCTACAGCCCAATAACGAAAATTATAAATAAAAACAACTTTACACTTTACTTTTATTTGATACTTATAATGTGAATCACTAAACGTCTCATTAAGTATCACACTATTGCATCGATAATGTATTATTCATGCTATAAACACACTATTCATTAATTGTCTCAAATGCTTTCAGCTACACGCTAATGTATTATTTATAGTATTATAATACATTAACATTATTATATATATATTTAATGCAACAATGGCAAAATAACTCAAAAATATTTATACGCAATTTTATTATTTACTATTTGATTACCTTGTTGCAAGGTAGCTCCAAAGACGTACCAAAAGCAATTCCCGAAACTACTCAAACCGATTTTACAACGGGATGATTTTCCATAAATATACGCGCTGTATCGATTAACGACGTAAAATACAAAACTGACAACTGGAAGACAAACAATTATTCCTATCCACACCTGAAATTAAAAAGTAAATTCATAAGAGTTCATTTACTGATGTGAATCTCTAAATTAAAATAAAACAGTACTCGCATTTTTATTGAAGGGTCGAAGAAAAAGAAAGGCTCTAGAAGGTTCTCGAGGTTTTCTCACTAAAATACCATTTTGTATGATTAATAGAGGATGAGTAAAATCTATGACGTCATTTCTTCTAGCGGTCAATGCTAAAAACGGTATGATGTCGGCATCCTAGATTTTTAAAAATGTATTAAATATTGTAGTATTTTTGTACTAAAACATAATAATTATTATTATTTTGATAGAATTGATGGAATAAGATAACGCGACACACGGGTCATCTGCTAGGAGGTCTCTCGAGAGCACTTTCTACGAGAAACTACTCCTATTTATGTGTTAGACGCGTGAAGAAAACCTGAAAAATTGGTGAGGCGCGGAACTCGCGACCGTTGGGCTAGAAATTGTTGTTAATAGAAAAGACATACCCCATCCAAGACCATTTTAATGGCTCCCGTCCAGCTTCCATTCTCTTTAGTTCCCCAGTCTCCTTCTATGTACAGTAACTCGTATCTGAAAATATAAGAATAAAGGCGTCGGAATAATTTGATACACTTTGACGAAATTAAGAAATTTTCACGAAAATACTTCATATTCATCCTTCTCGATATGTAATCCAATACCGCTTTGCACATGGAATTTTCGAGATATAACGTATTGTTTTCTTTATGTAGTTTGATCAAAGGTTGATACTGAAAGACGTAACAATATATAACTTATATTTATTTAGAAGATAATTTTTTCACGTAGGCCTATTAACTGGAAAGATACAATTAACCTCTTTAATCGCAATCCTTAAAACGGGCGATTCTCTCTGACGTATAACGTCGATAGTGGATATCCCAAAATTCTTAGACCAAGTGGCTATGGGTTGAAGGACGACGGTGCCATTATCGGAAGGGTAACCTCGCCATAAATAATAAAGTTTTTCATTTTGTATACAGCAAGTCGGTAGATTATTCTATCATAAAACAGAACATAGGCACGTTTACTGATTTATTGAAGCGTTATTATTAAGATATAGTATTTAAGATAGGATATAAGAATAGGATAAGCATTAGGATATAAAATCTAAAATAAAAATCTCACCGCTATCCTTTTTAAGAGATGATTACCAAATTTTTTCAAGGCGCTTTTATCATCTTTCTTGTAACACTTAAAATTCGATTCTCTCGACGCTACTTTTGTACTTAGCTAAGAGATAATTCAAAAAACAAGCGTAATATCGAGTTTGAAATACGTAAGATATAAAATAAAATGTTATTTTACCTGAACGGATAAAGGGAAGTATTCCGGATTAAGCGCCGTTTCGGTCACTACAATGATGTCTACGATGTAAGCGGCAGAAACGGAGAATACGTCATCCCAATTATTTGGATCGTCCAATATTAGAAGCTTAGCTCTAGTTCCGTGCATCCTTTCTTCTATCAGCTATTAATAATTTGTAAAAAGTAAATTTTCCCGCAATTTTAATCCATTTTCATCTGGAATTCGTCTATAATCGTACCATAAGTATAGTATCTTTAACGGCTTTACTGGGAGCTAATAAAATCATTAGTCTTCCGTCGTCGTTAGTGTCCGGCATGTTCCACATAGCAAAAAATCTCTTTAACGTGTTGTACAGGTGATACGTTTGGTTCTTGGTATCATTGTGTAGATGAATCTGAAGCAGAGGATATCCTGTATTTCCTAGCAACATTGATATTGGACTCTCTTCTAAATAAATAAAGTTACAGTAATAAGCTTCTTAAGTTTCCAAGTTTTAAATTTACTTACGCTGGCAGAAATTAATTAATATAATATTTAAATTTAATATTAAATTTAAAGTCAAAAATTTTCACTTGGCCGAAAAAAATTACTTTAACCTCTTTCTTTTAGAATGTTGGCATTCCAATTTGCATTTGCTCAACACATTACCGTCCACTCGCGAAGAAAATATGACTGGTATGATATTTAATTACTTTGTTAGTTCGGTGGGATAAGGCAACGCGACACGTGGGCGATCTACCAGTGGGATGCCTTCGGGGAGGACTTTTACGGGAAAGTGGCCCCTATTTAGGTGTTACCCGTTGGTATAAGACGCGAACCCGCCACCAACTACCAGTGTTTAGTGGGTTTTTAAATTATGTTAACTAAGCGAACATTTATCAGACATAATGGAGAAATTAGCTGATCCGCATCTTATTTACAGAGAAGATAAATGCGTAGGACGATTAGCGCAATGACTGTATTGCGAACGTATCCTAGCTCCAAATATCCCCACCATTCAATTCATAATCAATTACGAGAAAATGTTTGTTTTTTTTAAAGATCAGATGGACAGTTACGACCACGGTCGATAAGAACTAACGACTCGGAAGAACTAGTGATTCGACGTGTGGAGAAACAGCCCTCAACAAACACGAGAGTTGTGACAAATTATGCGTTGTCGGAACAAATGTTAACGTCTGGATTGTGCTACACGAACAGTTGGTACACTCCTTTTATCGTCAAACTGTGCGAGGCTAAGTCCTGCAGATTATCCAGCCCGGAGGTTGGCATTTAGAGTAGTGCGAATTAATAACACTCTAAGCAGACATAAAATAAATGCTAATAATGTCAGGCTTCCCTGCATAATATTCGTGTATCGCATGGCATCAACTACTACCAAAAGTTTGGGAGCCAATATCTTGCGAGGAGAGCTGTAGCCACCCCAGCTCTTAGGACTAAAATTGCTTATATTGACTCACTCTATTACCTATTTAATTTTGTCGACCTAATTCCCTAATACCCAGAATACCTATAACTCTGTTATAAGGTCTCGGGATCGAATTCCGGCCGAAATATTCCAGAAAATTTTCGGATATATCGCTCCGTTCCTCATCGTCCTATCGCCCCTATTGTGAACCTGGCCGAACCTTCGATGGATATGAAAAAAATAAAAATAAAAAACAGTAACCCGCTAGAATCCATAATAGAGGAAGACGAGTTAGAATGTGTAAATGTACATTCACCTCTGAACCACCGTGGATTTAGTCACTAGCGCTGTGGATAAAGAGTAAACTCTTAGATATTGTATATACTGTACAGTATATAAGTGCGTTTGTCACATTCAAATCTTTTTCCTGTACTTATTTAATCGCTTCTAAATTTATTTACAAAGGTAAGGAATCCGGGCCCTGGCTGTCTCCGTACTAAAAAAGGGTCCTCTTAGTGCCCACGGGACGGAACCAGTTAAAACTTTAGATAAGAATAATTCTTTGATGTCATTTTCAATTAGTCGACACGTAAAAAGAGTTAATTCTTATTCATAAATCTAAGAACTGTCTTTCGAATGTTTAACGTTCACTAAATTTTATTATTATTACATTTAATAGGTCTAATTTTATAATTGATTTCATTAAAATCTTACCGGAAGCGTATCCACGGAGTACAATTGTTTTATGCATAATATATTGACCAAATAGATCGTTAATAATCGCTTTAAAATCGTTTAATTTGGATTTTATATTATTACCATTTTCACCACAAGGTTTTCTGCAATTATTTGTCGCATTTATATACGAAATATTATATTTTTCCAGACTTTGAATTACGTCTTCGATATCCGGATTCTTCTTATTATTAAAGATAGAAACTACACCCACCGTATTTCTCTTGGTCCATTTTAAAACTAAAAATAAAAATTGCTTAATAAATCGCCATTCAAAGTATTATTTTATACGGCATTATTTATATTTACCCGCTTTTTTTCTATAAGAAAGTCTACTCGGCGCTGGACTTTTCGGTTGGTAACAAGCGGGAGGCTCGCCCTTCATCGTGTTATGAATATTTCGTAAAATGTCGCCGGAAAACAGCTGTCTTTCCTCGAAAACCACGGCTAAAATTTGTCATTTCTATAAATTAACCGAATTAAAATGTTTTATATATAAAAAGTAACTCACCGACCCTCCAGCAGTGGGAAAAGCAAATTTGCGAAATGAGTAATAATTCGATAAACATTTCATAATACGAAAACGAAACTCGTCATCGAGAAGAAATTCGAGATATTATCGGAAATTAGTTAAAATAATTAAGAAGTTCGTACAGAAGCCATTATCTAGCGATAATTTGGATGAATTCATCAACGTTTCGTTCTTCCTTTAAGTAAAGGAGGATGTAAAATTGGAAAAAAACGCACACACCCCTACGGTCAATAATGTATAAAGATACATGAGAACATTCAGCTGTTTATGTGTTTAGTCTTTCCTGGGAACAGAAACAAACGACTTTGCTTCGGGCAGGTGTACGAAGATATTAATTTAACGATCGCTGGTAGACACGACTTCTAAAATGGCGCGTGTCCCTTTATGTTTGTCTTTATAAACGCCCAAACTTTGCCGCGTTTAACACAATTAAACGCGATAAAATCGAGCCCGCGCGTCAGAATAATTGGTAAAGAACGAAAATGCCTGGTATAAATTTCTTTACCAACGTCTTAACTTAGCGAAATAAACTATTAAACGTAATTAACATGGCGAGAATATAACTACGGATTATAACTCGGAAAAGGATTCGAAATTTTAAGTGGAAATTATCGATTCGATATCGTTAAATCTTTCTTTATCGGCTTATAAACTTGTAGGAAACGTTACGAAGTCGAATACAATTATTTAAATGATATCGGATTAGATGCTTCTCGCCATTAATACTTGTTCGGAAACTCGATTAAACAGAATTTTTATCCGAAAATAATTGAGTATAGGTAAGGTTACGGCACGATTACCGCGTAAAGCGCGCAGAATTGGAAGTTAAATAAAAAGAAATCAATATTCACACATAATTAACGTCTATTTAAGTTGAATAAATGAAGTAACGTTCGTTGATTAACGTAATTTCTTTTATTATTAATATCGTAGATTTATAGCAATTAGGCTACAATTTTTAAATGGCAGACCCGTGATTTTCTACCGTCCTTCCTCCATCTCGAGAATGAAGTTCGATAGACGAAAATCGAGATCGGAGGTGAAAAGCTTAGCGGTCGAAGGATCCGATTAACTATATACAAAGTTCCGGTTTAGACCGGAAGTTACGTTATTCCAATTCAAATATTTTCTCCAGAACAGAGTTAGAGGGATGACCGGGATGACTCTCGTTAACAGAAAAGTACGAAGTACGGAGGCAACGCTACTAAAATCAAGAGCGTTGCGCGCGTCACAATAAATAATTGCCGGTTCCTACTTAGGCGTTAGATACGTAAAGATAACACCGCGTAAAGTTTTCCGGTTTTCTTCGCGCGGTGCTTGGACGGGGCTCGAACCCCAGCGCCGAATGGTCCATCTTAGATTAATTTACGGTATTGACATTTTATACTTCTTTAACCATTTGTGGTACAGTTTCTTTCTTGTTTATACTACGAATTATAAAATATCTCGTATTTTTTGTTACGAAAACGTGTCTACAAATAATGTTAACCAGGGAGATTTAAGAGATAATACTTCTTTCGAAATTTCAATATTAACTAGAATATTAATTTTGCTAATAGGCCTACGTAGGAAATTTTATGCTACATAAAAACATTTCTCGTATTCTGGGAGGTTTTAAAGCATTTTACGTCAATCCAGAATAAATTCTAATCGTCGAAAGAATACAAATGATGGCAAATATGGATAGAAAAATAATTAGAAATGAATTTGTCGAATTTTTATTTGCCATTTTAAATTGTGAATTAAGTTTTGGCATTTCTAAATCCTATCGCGAAATATAAACTCCGATAATTCTTCTATTCACTCGGAGTCAATGTCAATAGAGAAACGACAATGAAAGGCTGGAGAAATGGCATTTTAAAAGGGATCAATTCAATTTTTATAAATAAACTAATCGATAGCGCGGTAACAATATAATGAAAAACCAAAAAGTATTGAAAGATAGACCTATTGTATTTTTTAAACGAGAGAAATAATATAAAGTGTTTTAAAATATGAAAAAGTTAACTTTAACATTTAAATAAAGCTTTAGTATCGTTCAAATAATAAAAATAATCAAAAATTACGGCTTATTTGAAAGCTTTTTTTCCACGAAAACATCGAAGTTCGTATAGATCAGGCTTATTGGTGGGCGCAGTGGATAAAACCACTGAAAACCCGAGCCAGTTGCATGGAATTTTCAGGGGTTTTCACGTGTCTAACACCTAAATAGAGGCCCATTATCGTTAGAAAGTATCTAACATCTACTGTAAGACCAATTTTTTACGTAAAAGTCCTTCCTCGAGGCACCCCCTTGGAAAATCGCTCGGGTGTTGCGTTGTCTTAACTTATCAATTCAGTGACAAAGATAATTAAAATTTATAATTCAAACTAACTTAAAAATGAGAGAGAGAAAATAAAGAAATGTTTATAATTTTAAGTCATTTCTCCCGACTTAGTGTTGCGTTACGTTTATAATTTTGGAACTCTGCCACGAAAGTTATAAATTTAAAGCGGGAAATAAATTTAATCATTCAAAGAATTTCTGGGAAATGAAAGATGATAGATTTATCTTTTGATTATATTTAATTAATAAACTAGGTAAAATTATTTGTTAAATAATTAAATTTTCTTACATTAAATGAATACTGTTATGAGAAAGATGTGGGATGATCTGGAAAGGATAACGAAGATCATTCTTTTCTAATTGTCATCATAAGTATTTATTGTTCTCTATCAAGTGAAACATGTTCTTATAATAAGAAAATAAACCTTACTCTTAAATTAATATAAGTACATTATTATCTATTAAACATATTTTAGTGAAGTACAGTATAGTTTCACCAATTTGTAACATAAGCTTGAATAAAATAAAGTAAGAAATTTCTATAGGTAAGAATTAAATAAAGGATAAAATTACAGATTATTTGTATACAANTTAAAAAGAACGAGTTGTCCAGTTGTTTACAAGTATTTTTATATAATAAATGTAAAGATTCCAAATAAGAAAAAATAAAGAAAAATTACTTTTAAACACTAGAAAGTTATTAATTATTGTAACAAACAGTAGTATTTTTAATAGGTAATTGAAATAACATTAAGGCGTCAGCCTGCCGCTCTCGAACATCCGAGAACGATTCCGGGCGAATTTTTTGAGAGTGGTCCGTCCGGATACGTTGGGTCCCATCCCTCGCACCTAGCCGCTCCGTTGTGGGCCTGGCATAACCTAAGATAAGCTCGATTAAAAGATTATTTTAGCGCTCGCGGGGCGGTGTCAAAAATAAATCCATAAATTACATAACACTACTTGTATACTTTGCGACTACCATCCTATACCGCAACGTTCCATAACGCTGTCGCACTTGCCCACCCTTAAAATTACGTAACCCATATATTCGATCAACCCCCTTAATTGTTTTATTCTTTTAATACCAACGTATTGTTTTTTTTTTTTTGCTTTTTTGTCCTCAATTTCGTTAAATGTTTCTAATAACCTCACCAGTTATTTATATTTTGGGCTTATAGCACCAGTGAATATGAACAAAAAATTTCTTAAATTTATTTTATATTTAAGTTTACAAAAAGAATAAAGAAATCTTACAATGATTAAAACTAATATGTATACAATTCACCCAAAATGCATTTCGGACTCTGAAAAAGTTTCTCTTCGGTTGGTGTTTCGGTAGAGATAACGAGGTAAAACTACATAAAAGTTACATTAAAAGTTTTAAAATAACCGTGAAGCCATCGCAACTAAAAAAAACTGATGTTATCTCACAAGCGCCGTACAACAAATTCCATCTCTTTTATATTTTCTATAACCAAGCCAGCCGTGGACGGTTCTACACAATTAACAATAATTAGTAACAGACTAAATTTAACGTTAAACGATAAAGGCAATGGACGTAATACAATTGAGGCCTCCGAAGGATTGACTCAAACGTTGCGCCGAATAAACACGATTACTATGGTACGCACCTTTACAATCGATTACGTAGCAAGGGATACTAAATGTTCGTTATTTTAGGCATCCCCTTGGCATATCGCTTACGCATTGCGTTGCTTATTGATAGATTGGACGTCATCCTACTGGGAGGATAGATCATCCACTAGGTACTACGATTTTAATCGCTCTATTGTACAGTAATAAAGTATGAACTCTATCTCATCCTAGTCCTAGCTTGAAGCAACAGCGAAATACACAATAAAAGTTTAATTGTTTCATACTTAGATCATTCGTAATAAGTATGTAAATTAGTACTCGGATGGGAGCAAAATACAGCTGCCGCATCGATTAATAAAGACTAGAGGATTTTCTTACAATACTTTTTCACGGAAGTGCTTGCATGTCTTTATGCGTTTATAATATGCCAAGATTCACATTTTTCCAACAGTGACTTGACTCACCGTCTCCCTCTCTTTCAGGCCATCTTACCGCCCATTCTACGAGCAGGAACAGCTTATGGAATATTGGTACAGTATACTGCTGGTAGGATCATCCTATTTGCGCAGCTATTCTGTCGGTAGTGCCTACCAGTAGGATTGCCTGCCGTTATCGTGCGAATCGCAATCAAACCTTAATAGAAGACGAAAACGCCAGACCCGGCGTTTTCGGCCCCGGGAAGACTTTCTACGGTAAATTGATTCCTATTTAGGTGTTAGACACGCAAAAAAACTTCGAAAACGCCATTAAGCCAACCCTTTGATGAGGCGCGAACCCACGACCAGTTATCCATTCGATCATCGGTGGGCACCTTTTTGTTGTTTATAACAGAAAATGCAAATACTGCATATTTGAAATGGGTTTTTTCGTTTATAGCTAGTGTATTAGACTCAGATATATATATTTTTAAATTTAAATTATGGAATTTGCGTTTTTGGAATAAAGAATTTAATCACTGCATTTCAGTCATAGGTACTCGATGGTCGTCGTTAAAAAATTAAAATAGCAAATAATAACAGTTAACCCTAACAGACCAGGCCCACAATTTGCATTGTGGGCCTGGCCCAACCCATAACGGGCTTGGGGAAAACGGGGCCCGATCCGGACGGACCATTCCCGAAACATTCCTGGGGATTTTTCGACCCGTCCGGATGCCATCCCGCGTCCCCCAAAGCGTTAGGCTGCCACCTCGATGGCTGGGCCATCCGGCCGTCTCCCACAATTGGGTAGACGAGTGACGAGGGACGTGGTCCGAAGTATCCAAACAGGCCATTTACGAAAAATTCCTAAGGTTTTTCGATCCATTCGGATTCGATTAGGTGTTCTCCAGAACGGTAGAATACCGCCTTAACCACCGGGCCATTTAGTCATCGAATGATTCGCTTACTTACGTTTGCCTCGGCCACCGGATAGTCGAGGCGATATTTAAGATCTATCAGTCCGAGGACACGAGATAGAATCCGAGCGAGCAACCCCAGAAATTATACCGCCCGACCAACCGGCCGCGCCATTTGGGCCCGGTCGAACCCACGATAGGCCCGAAACTTTTCGCGGCTTAAAAGACGGAACGAGTCAATAAATAAATAATTTCGCTTTGTCGAGTAGACGTATCACATTAAACGAAAAACGAACTATTTCATCAAATATTCATTTAATAAAAGTAAATTTAAAAAATAATTTCATTCATCATTAACAAACATTTACTCGTACATATTAGGTTCTATTAGAGGAAACGAGTGCGATTCAGAAGCGAGCGATAGGTAGCGCTACGTATTCCCTTACGTGGCTCTTAGACCGAACGTAACATAAGAGGTAAGGAAATGTTTAGTTTTAATTAGGTTTATTTCTTTAAATATACGAAATAATTGCTTTTAATTTTACCGAGACGTTCGATAAATAATGGTTTGTGTCTGCGAAATAACCGAAAGGTTTTATAATTCGGCCATTGCCAATGTTAAGTAGTACGGGTGCATTTGTCATCGTTTCTTTTTTATTTACAAATTAAAAATATCTTCGCTTGTTAATTATATAATTGTTAACTCTCGGCAAGAGATTTACTGTACTTTAATGCGAACACATTCTGTTTATAATTTTATAATAATTAACTTCGATGAAAAATCCCAATCGTATATTACCATATTTAAACATCTCATTGTAGTTTATGGTCCTGTAATCCAAAATAACGTATTTTCACCAAATCTATTCAAAAGTTATCTGTGTCGTCTGTCGATTATTCGTCGGTAGATTACAATATTTTCCCGCAATGTCGTCTAAAATAATATCGCCACTTTGGAAGAAAACTAGCGCCACTCAAAATTACTAGTTTTGAGAAAATTCCTTGTAAACATTTAACCAAAGTTTAACCGAATTCGGTAGACCCCCCTATAACGCGGAATTATCTACCGTGTTATAGGGGGTCTACTGTATCGCTTAACTCCCGCGTAACTGCTCCCTAGTGGCCGAATACGCCAGTTACTTTTGTGACGCTCTTTCGCGTAAAAATGTACTACGTTTTCGTTTCGATTGCCACGTGATCGAAAAATCGCACTTTTTTGAGTTGCGCCAGTTTTGGTCCAAAGTGGCCACGCGTGGATCTACAAAAAAGTTAGAATGTGAAATAGCCAAGAGGAATAAATTTAATGTGTTTAAAAAGTTGTCGTCTAAGCGGAACGGCCGGTTACGAAACGCGTCGCCGCGGAAATCGTTACGCCGGCGCGGCACCGCCTCGTCGTCCTCGGCGGAAAGGGTTTCTTCCGGGGCTCTTTCTGCCCCGCGGGTGCCCGGGAGACCTATTCGGTCGGCCTTCCGGGTTTCGGACCCGGCCTCGGAGGCCGGATCCCTGCCCGTCCGGACGGTCCCCCTCCGAAATTCCTCGGGTTTTTCGGCCCGTCGGATTCGATTCCGGGACTCCTGGAACGGCGGGTGCCACCTCGGCCGGACGGGAAGGATTCCCGTCTGGCCGATGCGAGTCTGGCCGGAAAAGGTCGAGAAGTGCCGCGGCGCTTCTCGACCTTTTCCGGTCCGTCCGGTCCCTCTTGTGAAAATGGAAAATTTCGCCTTCTCCAAACATCCGTAAATTGAAAATAATGTTGAAAATAATGTAAATTGAAAATTGTCAAATAAATGGTTTTTGCGGTTGCTTCGTCGTCGATTTTTAATTACCGATCTACCTATTAAAGTACTATGCCACTTATTTTAGTAATGTAGACGTTAAGTTAATCGATAGAAAAAAAAGATAAATTTAAAGTAAATGAACTTAGAATTTCAGAAATGTATAAAATATAATTTGTAAAATATTCAATTATTGGCTTTTATGCTTGAGTCTACAAAATTTTGAATTTCCTATGCACAAAATTTTTCGTGCGGATCCCGGTTTGGAAAACACTGGTTTAGAACCTCGTCTTAATCCGTTGAAGTTATTTTAAGCTGGTCGGTTATTTCGCTAGAAACATTACTGTAATAAAAGAAATATTTTCAAATATTTTAGCAAACAAAAAATCTCTTACCCGAATTAAATAGCTATTTTGTTTATCGACCCGGTTTCGGGTTTTATGAATTTTATCGTCTATTTTATAATGGTAAATGCGCATTAATAAGTAATGCTTGAATAAATGTACTAAGAAGTATATTATTTTGAAACTTAAATTCACTTTGTAAGAGTTAGTTAATTATTTTTAACTTTACCATAATATTTTGACTAATTTTATTACATTATTAATATTAAAATACAAAATATTCAGTTTTTGTTGATAGCAGTTTATTTTATTAGGCTAAATTGGGGCACTTAAATAATTTAAGTGAAATTTATCTCATTTGAATTTTCAGTGTAATGTTTATCGTTTTACAATTCATATTTGGAAGTTGACATAAATTAATTATTTGTTCAGAGAATGTAATATCTACAAATAAGAAAAAGATTTGTGGTAATGCTTATCAATTATAGATACCTAATTTATAACTGATTAGATTAGATAATATTTAAATATTATATAGGTGTTGTTTTTGAAATAGTTAAAATATTTGTTTTAATTACTTTGAGTGTTTATTTATAGTTAGAAGTGAACACACACACAAAAAAAAGGAAATTATAAACATTCAAATTTTATATGAACTAATGCATTTTTAAATTCTAATTTTTTTTATTACAATGCACATACTGTAATTTGTTTCCAGTTTAACTATGAATCTTTACAATGCTAGAATAATTGGCATTTATTGCAATAAGCATTAACATGTATTCATTACAACACTATTTATGGATCAGTTTTTATAAAAAAAAAAAAAATTAGAAATATTTTAAAAAACAACAACTTAGAAACATAATCCAACAATTGCCTTAAATAATTGGGCTATAACTCTACTAATTTAATGATTAATACTAAGTAATTTACTGCTAGAGGTAGATGTTAGGTGCCATTTCTTAACTAAATTAATAATTTATTAAACAATTTAAAACCATCTGGAAGAAAATAACTGATCCGGGGTAGGGCTTGAACCTGCAACCTCCGCTTGCCAGTTGTGCCACCCGGACCAAGAGCTAGCCTTTGTTTCCGGTTGTATTTAAATTTAGATATAACCTTACGTGGTTAATCGCGGTGCCTGGCCGAGGATGCCCACGGCCGAAGTAAAACTCCGCGACGGCACTCGGCCGGCCACTTTTCTTCCGGAAGATTCTAAATTATTAAAATTATAATTATTAATTTAGTTAAGAGATGGTACCTAACGTCTATCTCTAGTAGCAAATTACTTAGTATTAATCATTAAATTAATGGAGTTATAGCCCAATTATTTAAGGTGATTGTTTGACTGTTTCTATGTTTTTGTTTTTTAAAATATTTCTAAAGTTTGAAATAAACAATTACTATAAATAATACATTTCAATTATGTTTTCAGCCTAATATAATTATGGCAACATATCAAGATTATATTCAGCAAAATGAAGATCAAAATGGAATCCGGTTTAGTTGGAATGCTTGGCCTTCTAGTAGATTAGAAACTACGCGCCTTGTTGTTCCATTGGGTTGTTTGTTTACACCTCTGAAAGAACGATTGGATTTTCCACCGATCCACTACGATCCGGTTCTTTGTACACGTCCGACATGCAAAGCCATTTTGAATCCATTATGGTACATTTTAACATTATTATTATATTTTAAAATTATTTATATATGCTTGCTTTTTAAATATTTTATAGCCAAGTGGACTACAGAGCAAAATTGTGGGTTTGCAACTTCTGCTTTCAGCGCAATCCTGTAAGAATTACTTTTGTTTTGATTTAAAATTATTTCAAATATTATGATCATATCAGTGAATTTTAACAATAATTTCAATTTACAGTTTCCACCTCAATATGCAGCAATATCTGAACATCATCAGCCTGCAGAATTAATACCACAATTTGCAACAATAGAATATACAATAACTGTAAGTTTACATTTAAACTTAAATTCTAAAATTGTTTTTGTGTATTAATATTTGCTATATATAGTACATATTGCAAATAGATTTTTCTTCTTTTATCAAAACATACTTGAATACAATTTATAAATTATTTTCACAAAATATATACAACTAGCAGACCCCGCCACGCCTTGTTGTGGCTCAAAATGTATCTATTATAAATGTATAACACTTCCCCGTGGGGGAAAATTTTTTCTTAGTGTACATTCTCTTGACGTACCCTATTAAAACGCAATCAATAGCGCAAAAACCCGCATCTAAAATAGTATAATAGAAGCCAAGTTTTTCACAGTAAGCCTTAATCTTGTCCTTCTCCCCCGCGAGGAAAATATCGAAAAATCCCTTCTTAGTATACATTGTGTTGACATACTCTATTAAAATGCAATCAAAAATGCAAAAAATCGCATCTAAAATAGTATAGGCCTAATAGAAGTGAAGTTCTTCACAGTAAGCCTTAATCCTGTCCCTCTCTCCCCGGGGGGAATATCGAAAAATCCCTTCTTTGTGTACATTCTNATTGAGTAATTTACTAGAAAAGAGATTCCTTTTAGAATAAACAATTTTATGTTAATAATTCAAATAAAATTTATTGGCAAATTGCACTAATTCTTAAAGTAAAATAAATTAACTGTTTTGTACAGTTTGAAGTAATACAGTCTATAAGTCTTAATAACAACTAATTATTATTATTATACATGAAATAACATTTAGGCTAACATACTTAAATTTACTACTAACTCAAGAAATCAAGAAGTAAAATGAAATTAGAGTGAACAACATTTTACAAGGTATTTATGTATATTTTTACTATAGGTAACCTTCAGCTGAACTTTTTTAAGAAAACAATTTTTTTTTCATAATGTATCATAAATTTTTATTACAAATTTCTTTTAATTTATCTGCATAAACAAGCCAAAATTTTAAGGTGACTTTTCTATTTGAAGACCTTTCTATCAGATTGATTAATAAAAAAGATAAATAATATATAATTTTAATTACAGAAACTGTTTTCAATATTTTGTAATATTTTATATTTAGAGAAAACCAATATAATACATGTAAACTGTGATTTACATGGTACAACACATGTACTGAAAGTCTTGAGCCAAATTAAATTATGTGAATAGCATGACATCAAATTTAATGGTGTTTGTGGTAATAAATACTTACTATGTAAGTTTACTTTTTGACATAACTGTTGCCACACATTTAGTCACAAAATGCATTAAAAGTCCATTTTGTTACTGTTAAGATGCAGATTGGTCAGGTGAAAAACTCCAACTTGACAATATCATCATCATCAACTAACATACATACAAACATTACCTCTTTATTATATTAGTATAGATATATATGATGTGAAGAAACTTATAATGATAAAAATAAATTAATTTTTAAAATGCTCAAATTCAAAACATTTGCTATCACATTCAAGTGAATTTATTTAAAATATAAAACTATTGGAGAAAATAACAATGTGGTTACATGTAAAGGACAATCATGCCACAGGTCGTAGGTTGACACACTGATATTCTTTATTCTATGTCTCATTCATTATGTAACATAGTGGAAACATTTTTTTATCCCTATGATAGCATTTACTCCAACTGAAGATGAAGTCTGAAATGTACATTTTGGAGGAAAAAAAGAGAGAATAAAGAATATCAGTGTGTCAACTTACAACCTGTGGTGTGATTGTCCTTTAAATATAACCATGTTGTTGTTATTGTTGTTATATGTATGAAGAAATAAATTATAGAACAAAAAGCTTTACCATATTTTTTTGCATTTTAACTAGAGATTTTTAGTTTCATGATTAAAATAGAAGCTATTAATTGAGAATTGAAATAAATTATGAATATACATCACATCTATTAAGCTTAATATATTAAAAATTCTTCAATAGAAATTTTAGAAATGAAGATGAAATATATTTCAAATAATAGAATCATGTAGGACAGTAGATATCCAACTTTAATATGGCTGAGGGCCAGAAATTAATGTATGTTAATGGGGAGCCAGATTTTAAATTTTGTAAGCACTAAGTATTTCTAAATCTTATGATGGGAATAAGAAGAAAGAAGATTCTGATATCATTATATTCAAAATTAGTATTTAATTTTTATTGAGCAGAAAAGAAATAATAAAATATTACCAGTTTGTTATTTTTAATGAAAACATTATTATATTTCAAATTTGGCAATTCAGATTCAGTCTTATTGACATTCAACTCCATTCCATTCCAAGTGAAGTGTAGTATCAGCAAAATAATGTGTTTTTGTATTAGCTACCATTACAACTTGTCTCCATCACATTACATTACTAAAGCCTCCAATTTGGAACTGACAAAAGCATAAAGCCTTGTGATACTGTTCTCTTTGTAACTGACAAGCAATGTTGTTTTTATGCTAATTTTGTCTAATGACATAAATACAATGTCATTAGACAATAATGTACAATGTAAAATATTTTATATTTAGAGAACTTTTCATTTCTCAATCAGTTCTTCTACTTAAGAGTCAAATTGGAATTATTAGTTTCTGGCTCAAAGACAGTTTTGATTTGTTTTGGCAAGAATAATGGATATGTATAAGACAAAGTAGTGTGTGTTGTGAATGCAGTGTATAAAATATGCTGCCATATTCAAATTTTTAGTAAAAAACTAATCCATGAAGTCTACCAGACATGTGCACACAACTGAAATCTTTACAACTTAAAATAATTTTTTTGATATAAAGAAATTAAAAACTACATAAAAGTTACATTAAAAGTTTTAAAATAACCGTGAAGCCATCGCAACTAAAAAAAACTGATGTTATCTCACAAGCGCCGTACAACAAATTCCATCTTTTTTATATTTTCTATAACCAAGCCAGCCGTGGACGGTTCTACACAATTAACAATAATTAGTAACAGACTAAATTTAACGTTAAACGATAAAGGCAATGGACGTAATACAATTGAGGCCTCCGAAGGATTGACTCAAACGTTGCGCCGAATAAACACGATTACTATGGTACGCACCTTTACAATCGATTACGTAGCAAGGGATACTAAATGTTCGTTATTTTAGGCATCCCCTTGGCATATCGCTTACGCATTGCGTTGCTTATTGATAGATTGGACGTCATCCTACTGNCATGCTGTTAAATCCTTATTTAAATCAGATTTATTATTCATTTTTTTCATAGGTAAAATACTTATTTATTATTAAAGTAAATATTTTACCAGAGGATTATTCATCCTGTATGATGATCTCAGCGTGAGCATCATCAACTGGTAACAGTTTTTGGGTGCGTTTATTAATAGTGGTCGCTCTGCAACGGGAGCGCGCCACTGTTTGTAGGAATTTAGGAATGATGGTGAAAGAAAGATGGCGGCACCTGCACTATCGATAGTATCATGATGGAGGAATCTATCATTCTAAAATGAGCTTTTAGAGGCAAAAGAAGGGTCCCAATTGTAAAATATAACCATTAAATGGATTATTTGTTGAAAGAGCATTTAAAGTAGCCATGAAAACAATTAGAATGCTTGAGCAGAGTTATGCAGAAGTATAAAAGAATGCACCCTTTATTACATTTTATGCGGTACGAGGGTTTTACCCAATTCCCGAACCGTGTTAGAGTGAACGCGTGCTATAGAAGTGCCATGTTATACGGGGGTTACCTGTAGTTCATAAAAATAAAAATCACATAAGAACTAACTTATCATTTGAAGACCTTTCTATCAGATTGATTAATAAAAAAGATAAATAATATATAATTTTAATTACAGAAACTGTTTTCAATATTTTGTAATATTTTATATTTAGAGAAAACCAATATAATACATGTAAACTGTGATTTACATGGTACAACACATGTACTGAAAGTCTTGAGCCAAATTAAATTATGTGAATAGCATGACATCAAATTTAATGGTGTTTGTGGTAATAAATACTTACTATGTAAGTTTACTTTTTGACATAACTGTTGCCACACATTTAGTCACAAAATGCATTAAAAGTCCATTTTGTTACTGTTAAGATGCAGATTGGTCAGGTGAAAAACTCCAACTTGACAATATCATCATCATCAAACTACCCTGCAGACTGTTTTTAGTGGACGAAACAGAATAAAATGTGACAGAGTGAGACCAGGACTATACAAAGAATGAGACAACAATGTCCAATTCAGCATCTTAGTTGTGGCCTGCTGTGTAAGGATGCATATTGTTGTGTTATAGGATGACAGTGTATTTGTATGGATGCTCAGTTCCTTCAACAATTGCACCTAATGGGAGGAATTGATAGTTTTGCTTTTAGAAGAAAACTAATGACAGGTTACTGACAAAATAAAATGACAATGTCGTTCATTTTTCCACCATGAAAGTGAAAATGTGCGTTTGCTGTCAAGTCTGTTTCAGAATGGCCAATAAATATAAGTGTCTGTTGTACACTTGGTTTTTGCTATTAATTCAAATATCTGAAAGCATAGACTGTAGCTCAGGAATTTCAGCATGTGCTTCATAGATTGGTTTTATGTAAGTCAAGACTAATATTTCTATGGGAAATCGAGATATGTTCTAAGTTTTTGATATAAAATGAACAAAAATGAAATTTTATTCTTTATCTTTGCTTATGAAGGCATAGTGCAAAATACATATTTCCATCTTGTTGTTGCTTAAGATGAAAGTAGCAGCATGATTGCAATATCAAAATAACTGATATAAGTCTAAACATTAATTTTAGCAATAAGAATATTTTAAAATACCATGCTGAATTGAAACACCGTTTTAAAACAAAATTTTGTCACATTTTTCTAACCATGTTAAATTGAGTTTATGCAATCCAAGTACAATGCAAATCAAGGGTTTTTATATCATGAGTCAATAATGTTAATTTTTTTTTTTAGAGAGCAACATGTCTTCCTCCAATATTCCTGTTTGTAATTGACACATGTACTGATGATGATGAGTTAAACGCATTAAAGGTTAGTAAATTGTCTTGATATTAATATTTATTTTATTAAAATATCTAATATGTAAAGAAATAGTAGTAGTGATATTAATTAATAATAAAATTTCTCAGTAAAAAAGTGAAAAATTATATTTTAGGAATCTCTCCAAATGTCTCTCTCATTATTGCCACCAAATGCATTAATTGGATTAATTACATTTGGAAGGATGGTTCAAGTTCATGAACTAGGATGCGAAGGTTGTTCAAAAAGTTATGTTTTTAGAGGCACTAAAGATCTAACAGCTAAACAGATTCAGGTATTTTTTTAATTGATATATTTTATCATGAACAACTATACTAACTATATAATTACAATGCAGTTGTAATTATATAGTTAGTTAGAATTTACTTGTAATTACGATGAACAAAAAATTTATTTCAGGAGTTCAAAACTCTTATTTTAGGAAATATTTTTTAAGTTTAGTAAAGTTTTGTGAAATGTTATGTTCCCAGTTAATTGTTGCATTAAGTGTGAAATTATTCATAAAGACAGAAATAATGATAATGTAGGAAAAGAATTTGAATGCTATGAAATATTGCATATATTGAATGTGATATTAAATGGAAGCTTTAAAATATTGAAGTGTAGAGAGACAAAAGCTGCCAAAATGCAAAATCCCCTCTATATGAAAGAATACATATTGTTGAGTAAATCCCAAGAAAAACTATTACATAAGTTTTAGTAAACATACATGAGAAGAGAAAAAGGAAGTGACTGAAAGAATGACCATTTTTAGCTTGCTTAGTTTATAAATAAAGGGATTGAGTAATTTACTAGAAAAGAGATTCCTTTTAGAATAAACAATTTTATGTTAATAATTCAAATAAAATTTATTGGCAAATTGCACTAATTCTTAAAGTAAAATAAATTAACTGTTTTGTACAGTTTGAAGTAATACAGTCTATAAGTCTTAATAACAACTAATTATTATTATTATACATGAAATAACATTTAGGCTAACATACTTAAATTTACTACTAACTCAAGAAATCAAGAAGTAAAATGAAATTAGAGTGAACAACATTTTACAAGGTATTTATGTATATTTTTACTATAGGTAACCTTCAGCTGAACTTTTTTAAGAAAACAATTTTTTTTTCATAATGTATCATAAATTTTTATTACAAATTTCTTTTAATTTATCTGCATAAACAAGCCAAAATTTTAAGGTGACTTTTCTGTAATGAAGGTATATAAAAAACGAAAGGACTTTAGCAAACTGTTGCCAAATTCAGTTAAATTAAAGATGATGGATATGTATGTGGTGCCCTTCTATAGAATATCACAGAGTATGAAATTTTTGAAGATGTGGGGAGGCTTTGGATTTGCTTCACCTAAGGGGATGTTGTTAGGAATCTTTGTCCATTACCATCACTTCAGAAAACTTATCATACTTCAAAAACATAAGTTTTCTGGCAACTTCAGTGACTTAATTATTTTTTATTAAAAACTCTTCAATTTGTATTTATTTAATCAGTTTTTCAGATTACACAAGTGACCTGATCAACTTTTTTCAAGTTCTTTTTTTCTTGATGTAATGGGCATAATATAAGGCCTTAGTACCTAATAGACCCTTTTTGCAAACTAAAAGTGTTCCATTTACTTCTGTAGTTGTAAATAGAAGTAAGTTACTGTTTGTTTTCATCCCATGGGTAGGGCTGAGAAGAAACATCAAGTAAGAAGGAAAAGTGAGGAATTTGATTACTCTGTATATTACTTTGTTGTTAAGGAGTATAAGACAATCTTTTAACACAACTTATGAGGCCATATCATTAATGTTATTGGCATTATATAATGATTTATACAGAGAGCTGTTCCTGTTTGTTCCAAATTATGGTAACTGACTAATAATGTAATAACATTAACTGGAGTAAGTATATAAAACTACAATTGAGGGAAATTTATTGTGTATAAGATTAAAAAGCCATTTTAAAACAAAAAATGTATGAATTGAAGATTTCTTGATTATAATTATTAATTTATAATTCATCCAGTATTGTTTGTCTATGATCAGCTGTAATAAAAAGTATCTTAATGCCAATAATTTAAATCGTATTACAAGCAAATAACAATTAGAATGATTAACATTTAAAAGCACTGGCCAAAATTGATAACCATAACTGATAATTATTGCTTGCTATCAGCCACTTGTTGCCATCAAGAAAAGCAAGCTTAATAAAATTTATATACATGAAGCTAACAATAACCAAATTCTGATTACAAAACTGTTGTGTTGATCTGCATACTTATTTGTAGTATATATTTATACGCAAGATATTCCAGTTAAATTTAATATCATGGGCAGCGCTTTAAGATTAGAAACAAATAGATTTAGACTAAATACTATATTAATAAAAAGATATTTAATGTTTCTACAAAAAATTATTAAGGCAGAAGACATAACAACAAAATTATTGTTTTTACTATATCACAAATCAAGGGAAATGGACTTAAGACGAAGTTGGATAATACAGCTATCAAAGATAGTAAATAAATACGGATTTTCTATTAAATTGTTTTTGGATCGTACACACAATATGGAGCAGTATAGTAAAGAAATAATATACAGAGCTATGGAGCTCTTCATTGTTCAAGACATTGAAGATATACGAAAACAGGAAAACACAAGCTGGTATGCAAGAATCCAAAATTACCCAGTAAATAATAACTATATATTGACAAATCTAGCTTTTAACATCAAAAAGTTTTTTATACATGAAGTTAAGATTAGGTTAAATAAAAATGGAATAATTATAAATGATAAATATATAGACTATACCCAATCTAAATGTCCAAATTGTACCAAAATTTTATCTAGAGTTCATATTATATGTGAATGCTGTAATGAAAAGGATAAACTACAAAGGCTCCAGATGGGACCACTGGCTAACTGTAATAATGAGATGGAAATGTATAAGACTTTTGACAGAGCTAATACTAACATGATTTATATGTTATATAACTATGTTAAACAATTTATTAAATGATAATTGTGACAAAATATTAATGTAATTCTATAGATCTGTAAATAGAATATATCAGTGTCGTTAAGACGTGATTATGTAAGATGTTAAAACGCATTTTTAAAATCAAACGCCCTTGTAACAGGCTAAAGCCTTTTACGCCAAATATTATTATTACTTATTTGTAGTGTATTTTAGCTTGTGTTTTGGGATCTGCTAACTTTGACAGCATTATTCCTGATTACAATAAGCAGAGTCTATTGTATAATGTAAATAGTAATGAATTACTTTTTAGGAAATGTTGGGAATTGGAAAATATCACCATCAGCAACCAGTTCAGCAACAGCCACGTGGACCTGGAGGACAACCTGTGCCACCTGCTAATAGGTAAATTTGTTTATCTTTTATTTGTTTATATTTTCCTTCTGAAATTTTTAAAGTTTATATGTAAATTCATTAGGTTTTTGCAACCTGTTCATAAATGTGATATGAGTTTGACAGATTTGCTGGGAGAATTACAGAGAGATCCTTGGCCTGTAGCATCTGGTAAACGTCCACTAAGATCAACTGGTGTAGCTCTATCAATTGCTGTTGGATTGCTAGAGGTTAGAAAAATTAATATTTATTATAATATTTATTTATTATATAAACAACATAAATAAGAAGTATCAAACATTGAACATATTTTCAAATCAAAATTTCACAAATTTGATTATTATGTTGTTGAGCACAAAAGTTGACTGTCAGTTAGTGTACAGGAGAATACTAACAAAAATGTCATAATTACTGAATAACAATGACACAAACTATCTATTAAGGTTTGGCAAGATATGGCCTGCAGGCTGCCAGTTGAACAACCCTGACTAAAACTATTGAGATAACTTTTATCTTTTATCCACAATAATGCTATACACATTTTAATTGATAATGTCATATGTTCAGTTGTATTTTAATATACATAAATTTTAATAACATTCATTATGATATTTCTGAAGACAAAAAATAATTATAAAGGAGATGAGAAAGCAACTTGATTAGAATAAATCAAATTCTTATTGTATTCAGGTCATTTCCAGCTTAGAGTTAATAGTTATATTAAATAGAACTGAAAAAATTAAAAATTTATGTAGTGAATAAGTCATATACAGTAGTTCTGTATACAGTATAAAATCTATTTAGCATTACCTAAANGTTATTTTTTTTTTTTTAAATTGTTGTTTAAAAATGCATTTCAAATGTTTTTAAAATTTGTAAAAGCTTTAGTAATACATTTGAAATTAATTTGTGCCAGGAACTCTATCATCTTGTTAATTATTTATTTTAATTGACAAATTGATTTAATAAAGATAAACAGAATTCCAAGGTTTTAAGGAAATAATTTAAAAAGAAAAACTTTTTTCATGATTATATAACAAATTAAAATGAATAATATATTTCTGGATGAAAAATAAACTAAATAATAATGACAAAGGATATTTTAATTTTTCTAAAATTTATATTTCTTTTAAATATTTTACAGTGGTCATATTGTGATGGGTGATTCATTTAATTCAACGTTATTTAAACAAACGTTTCAACGTGTTTTTGCAACAGATTTGAAAGGAGAATTTAAAATGGCTTTTAATGCAATTTTGGAAGTAAAGGTATTGTGTTTAGTTATTTATAAATATTTTACAGATAAAAGTAATTTTTCACCTTATAATAATAATTTTATAAAATTATCATTTCAAAACAGACATCTCGTGAACTAAAAGTTTCTGGTGCAATTGGTTCTTGTATATCAATGAATGTGAAGAGCAACAGTGTATCTGATACAGAACTGGGTGTAGGTGGAACATGTCAATGGAAATTCTGTGGTATTAATCCCAGCACAACATTAGCTCTTTTCTTTGAAGTTGTTAATCAGGTATCTATTAACTTAACTGTAATATATTTTCATAGCATACGGTCAGATACATAATTTTAAAGATATTTTTGAGGCATTCACCTGCCAATCTAAGAATTAGAATAGAACATGAAAAAATTTTTTCATAAAATCATAAAAGTTTTTATTTGATTTTAATGTGCAATTATTTCAATGCCTAATACAATTTCTCCGTATTTAACTTGCTATTTAAAATTTAATTTTTTTTATCACCAATTAATTGTATGTCATCTAATAAAAATTTTTAAATATTATTTATTTAATAAAACTTATTAGAATCACTAAATTAAATATGTAAGGCCTCAGTCACTCAGTAAGAATCTTAAATAACAAATTTAATACTATTAATAAATTTTTAGAGGTAAGGACATGAAATATTTTTCAACTGATTTAAAGTTATTTAACAACTTTTATAACACCATCTTCAATAAATTAAATTTTTTAATGGCAATGCAAAAACCATTGATGATATTGAAAATGTGGGCTAGATACATAATTAGCAATTTGAATTTTGGCAAACCAACTTGGTTCTATTATATCCAATACCTCATCTATTTCATGAAGAAACATTAGTTTCTAAGTGAAATAGATGAGATTTTGGATATAATAGAACTAAGGCTGAGACTCCACTAGTGTAAAAACGGGCATAAAATCCTTCGACATAAAAACTTTTAATCATGTGACCTATTTGCATTTGCATCTGGATTGCAGTGGAGGTCCGGCTAGCGAAGTTTTTACGGGGACGATACTATCAAAGTTATAAAGACAATGATTATATTCTACAAGTTTTTTTTGTATTATAATTACAAATGTAGTAAAAATAATCTTTACTTTCATATATTAACTTTTATTATTGTATTATTAATTTAAGATAATATACAGCACTTATAAGCTTAGCTTTTTTATTATATACTCCTCTAAATTTAAGGATTTTCCTCTGGCCATCCATATCACGTGTCTTAGGCATCCATTATTATAATTGGGATACCTCTTGTCGTAGATACACGAATACTTTCAGATGTTTTCAATAAATCTTTCCGGATCTATTCTAGAGTAGTCACGAGAGAACGTACACAAAAGCTCATTTAATGCCATTTTTGCACCGTGTCACAATGACCTAGATTTCATTGACTTCTGATTGGTGGATGGTACCGTTTTACGGTCATATTTGCATCGAAAGTTGAACACTGCTCAACTCGCTTTTGCGCTGATTTTACGACCTGCTCGGGCATAAAATATCATGGTCACGTGATTAAAAGCTTTTACAGCGAGGGGTTTTACGCTAACCCCTTGCTGTAAAAGCTCACTGGAGTCTCGGCCTAAGTCTGTTTGCCAAGATTCAAGATTTTATTTTGACAAATTGCTAAATGTCTATCTAGCCCAAATTTTAAATTTTTTGCATGGAGAGAAGTTAGATGACCATACTTAAAACATGTTTTATTAAATACAGTGTAAAAAATTAAGAAGGAGCTTCTTAATAATTAAATTGATATTTAAATTTATTATTGTAATTATTCATTCAACATTTATAGTTATATTCCAGAGTAGATAACTAATTGCAGTAATTGTAAATAAGTGAAGAAGAGCTTAAAATGGGATCATTTTAGTGAATTCCGCTATGTATTTATCCACTTAAGTTTATCATCCCAGAGGGCAGTATTAACTACTCTGAAAGCAAGATCGGTCTCCATTATTAATTCAATTATATAGTAATAGCTACTTTTTGAAGAATAAATTTAGCATGAATGTGTAAACAGTTCTTTAGAATTCTACATTTTTGCCTATTTTGCATATCAGTATTCACAAATAAGCTTTTTGTAATCTAAAATATTAATATTTTGTCAAACTCTATTCATAATTACATTAATCAAAATTTTAAGAAATTCATAATCATTATCATATCAAAAATATTATATAGTATTTGAAGGAACTTCTGAATGCACAGAAGAAATAACAATTGTTAAAATTTTTAAAACTGNCTATTCTAGAGTAGTCACGAGAGAACGTACACAAAAGCTCATTTAATGCCATTTTTGCACCGTGTCACAATGACCTAGATTTCATTGACTTCTGATTGGTGGATGGTACCGTTTTACGGTCATATTTGCATCGAAAGTTGAACACTGCTCAACTCGCTTTTGCGCTGATTTTACGACCTGCTCGGGCATAAAATATCATGGTCACGTGATTAAAAGCTTTTACAGCGAGGGGTTTTACGCTAACCCCTTGCTGTAAAAGCTCACTGGAGTCTCGGCCTAAGTCTGTTTGCCAAGATTCAAGATTTTATTTTGACAAATTGCTAAATGTCTATCTAGCCCAAATTTTAAATTTTTTGCATGGAGAGAAGTTAGATGACCATACTTAAAACATGTTTTATTAAATACAGTGTAAAAAATTAAGAAGGAGCTTCTTAATAATTAAATTGATATTTAAATTTATTATTGTAATTATTCATTCAACATTTATAGTTATATTCCAGAGTAGATAACTAATTGCAGTAATTGTAAATAAGTGAAGAAGAGCTTAAAATGGGATCATTTTAGTGAATTCCGCTATGTATTTATCCACTTAAGTTTATCATCCCAGAGGGCAGTATTAACTACTCTGAAAGCAAGATCGGTCTCCATTATTAATTCAATTATATAGTAATAGCTACTTTTTGAAGAATAAATTTAGCGTGTACTCAAGGACCAGGAATGGTTGTTGGAGATGAGCTAAAACAAACAATTCGTTCTCATCATGATATTGAAAAGGATAATTGTAAATTTATGAAAAAAGCCATTAAAGTAAATTTTATTATATTACAAAATTAAATATTATAAAGTTTTTTTTAATCTGAAAAATGTTTAATATTCTTATTTAGCATTTTGAAAGTCTTGCTAGCAGAGCTTCTTCTTCAGGACATATTATTGATATCTATTCTTGTGCTCTTGATCAAACTGGTTTGCATGAAATGAAGTTTTGTCCAAACTTTACTGGGTAAGATTCAAAATAAAATTGAACATTTAGACTTTTAGACTATACAATATTTACAATATTTTTGGAATATATCAACAATAGTACAAATATATATATGTACTATGTAGAATTTTCAGTCAAAATCTAGTAATTACTAAAAATATGCTCATAAGCAAGTTTTTAGACTTTATAGAAAAGTTTTATTATTGATATATTTAAGTAATAACTTATGTAGTTAATCATTTCTAGTAGTTTTATGTAATTTTTTTTTTTTAAATTGTTGTTTAAAAATGCATTTCAAATGTTTTTAAAATTTGTAAAAGCTTTAGTAATACATTTGAAATTAATTTGTGCCAGGAACTCTATCATCTTGTTAATTATTTATTTTAATTGACAAATTGATTTAATAAAGATAAACAGAATTCCAAGGTTTTAAGGAAATAATTTAAAAAGAAAAACTTTTTTCATGATTATATAACAAATTAAAATGAATAATATATTTCTGGATGAAAAATAAACTAAATAATAATGACAAAGGATATTTTAATTTTTCTAAAATTTATATTTCTTTTAAATATTTTACAGTGGTCATATTGTGATGGGTGATTCATTTAATTCAACGTTATTTAAACAAACGTTTCAACGTGTTTTTGCAACAGATTTGAAAGGAGAATTTAAAATGGCTTTTAATGCAATTTTGGAAGTAAAGGTATTGTGTTTAGTTATTTATAAATATTTTACAGATAAAAGTAATTTTTCACCTTATAATAATAATTTTATAAAATTATCATTTCAAAACAGACATCTCGTGAACTAAAAGTTTCTGGTGCAATTGGTTCTTGTATATCAATGAATGTGAAGAGCAACAGTGTATCTGATACAGAACTGGGTGTAGGTGGAACATGTCAATGGAAATTCTGTGGTATTAATCCCAGCACAACATTAGCTCTTTTCTTTGAAGTTGTTAATCAGGTATCTATTAACTTAACTGTAATATATTTTCATAGCATACGGTCAGATACATAATTTTAAAGATATTTTTGAGGCATTCACCTGCCAATCTAAGAATTAGAATAGAACATGAAAAAATTTTTTCATAAAATCATAAAAGTTTTTATTTGATTTTAATGTGCAATTATTTCAATGCCTAATACAATTTCTCCGTATTTAACTTGCTATTTAAAATTTAATTTTTTTTATCACCAATTAATTGTATGTCATCTAATAAAAATTTTTAAATATTATTTATTTAATAAAACTTATTAGAATCACTAAATTAAATATGTAAGGCCTCAGTCACTCAGTAAGAATCTTAAATAACAAATTTAATACTATTAATAAATTTTTAGAGGTAAGGACATGAAATATTTTTCAACTGATTTAAAGTTATTTAACAACTTTTATAACACCATCTTCAATAAATTAAATTTTTTAATGGCAATGCAAAAACCATTGATGATATTGAAAATGTGGGCTAGATACATAATTAGCAATTTGAATTTTGGCAAACCAACTTGGTTCTATTATATCCAATACCTCATCTATTTCATGAAGAAACATTAGTTTCTAAGTGAAATAGATGAGATTTTGGATATAATAGAACTAAGGCTGAGACTCCACTAGTGTAAAAACGGGCATAAAATCCTTCGACATAAAAACTTTTAATCATGTGACCTATTTGCATTTGCATCTGGATTGCAGTGGAGGTCCGGCTAGCGAAGTTTTTACGGGGACGATACTATCAAAGTTATAAAGACAATGATTATATTCTACAAGTTTTTTTTGTATTATAATTACAAATGTAGTAAAAATAATCTTTACTTTCATATATTAACTTTTATTATTGTATTATTAATTTAAGATAATATACAGCACTTATAAGCTTAGCTTTTTTATTATATACTCCTCTAAATTTAAGGATTTTCCTCTGGCCATCCATATCACGTGTCTTAGGCATCCATTATTATAATTGGGATACCTCTTGTCGTAGATACACGAATACTTTCAGATGTTTTCAATAAATCTTTCCGGATCTATTCTAGAGTAGTCACGAGAGAACGTACACAAAAGCTCATTTAATGCCATTTTTGCACCGTGTCACAATGACCTAGATTTCATTGACTTCTGATTGGTGGATGGTACCGTTTTACGGTCATATTTGCATCGAAAGTTGAACACTGCTCAACTCGCTTTTGCGCTGATTTTACGACCTGCTCGGGCATAAAATATCATGGTCACGTGATTAAAAGCTTTTACAGCGAGGGGTTTTACGCTAACCCCTTGCTGTAAAAGCTCACTGGAGTCTCGGCCTAAGTCTGTTTGCCAAGATTCAAGATTTTATTTTGACAAATTGCTAAATGTCTATCTAGCCCAAATTTTAAATTTTTTGCATGGAGAGAAGTTAGATGACCATACTTAAAACATGTTTTATTAAATACAGTGTAAAAAATTAAGAAGGAGCTTCTTAATAATTAAATTGATATTTAAATTTATTATTGTAATTATTCATTCAACATTTATAGTTATATTCCAGAGTAGATAACTAATTGCAGTAATTGTAAATAAGTGAAGAAGAGCTTAAAATGGGATCATTTTAGTGAATTCCGCTATGTATTTATCCACTTAAGTTTATCATCCCAGAGGGCAGTATTAACTACTCTGAAAGCAAGATCGGTCTCCATTATTAATTCAATTATATAGTAATAGCTACTTTTTGAAGAATAAATTTAGCATGAATGTGTAAACAGTTCTTTAGAATTCTACATTTTTGCCTATTTTGCATATCAGTATTCACAAATAAGCTTTTTGTAATCTAAAATATTAATATTTTGTCAAACTCTATTCATAATTACATTAATCAAAATTTTAAGAAATTCATAATCATTATCATATCAAAAATATTATATAGTATTTGAAGGAACTTCTGAATGCACAGAAGAAATAACAATTGTTAAAATTTTTAAAACTGAATTTATTTTCTTTCATTGATAAGATGAGAATATATTTTGAATATATATATTTTGAATATTTTATATATTTTATATTTATTTATATATTTATA